AGGCAACACTCTCGGGAAGAACATTCTAATAAGTCATTTTATTTTAGTTTATTTTGGGCCCATAGGTTGTAATTGTAATTGTATTGTGCATTTCTTATTATTTTCTAACTAAAGGTTACATTTAATTACAATTACCTGTGTCATTGGTTATTGCTACATTCTCAGTTCCTACGAACCTAGAGGTCGAGACGTGTACATACCTTGAAGTGGGTTACACTAACCAACACTGTAGTTAGTTGTTTACGAGTCATTTGCAGCGATGAGTACCTGTTTTCTAGAAACAAACCTGTGTCTGGCGTAAGGAGGATTCGGGAGGAGGCGTTTCTACGTAGGAAGCTGGGGGGGGGGGGGGGGTTTCACACATGCGCAACATTTGAAAAACGACAAACAGTCGCTGGATTTCTCATTCCTTGGAAAATCCTCTATACAGCCTTTAAGCATGCGCAGTCTTAAGCTTGATCGATGTTTCCTCTGCTCGATAAATAATGTCTGTGAAGTGATGACGTATTCTTGACAGTAAAGTCCCGTCTGTGAATTCGTATTCGTACTGATGAAAGCGTAATAGTAAATTTTCATTTCGTGATTGTAATTCTTGATGTTGTAACTTTTCAGTTCGTATTCTGATTGGTAAAATACACACAATCTATTTTATGTACGACTGGACTCATTTGAGAGTTTACAAATATTTATTTTATGCGCAACTACAGCCAAATATGCACGGATTTCCCAAATACGCACAGATTTCTATTCTGTGCACACGAATATTTTTGAAAGCTTTGTCGTGAGATGGACGTGACATGACGTAGGTGTACGTGCGCAAATTCTAGTTGCAGGTGGGATCTATAAAGCAAAGATTGCGTGGTTCAGTGCATGTGGTGGGTTTTCTAAATATGGAGTTTGCACAACGAAAGACTACAGATGGTGTTGAAGAAACTGCAAGAGGCTGGAGTTACACTGAACATGGAGAAGTGCGATCTGAGCAGGCCAGAGGTACAGTTTCTCGAACACATTCTGTCTGCTAAGGGAATCCAACCCGACCTGGACCAAATCAGAGCTGTGAAAGACATGAAAGAGCCATCAAACATTAGTAAAGTGCGCAGCTTTCTTGGCATGGTCAGTCACCAAGGCAAATTAATTCGAGGACTGGCAGAAAAAGATAAACCCTTAAAAGATCTGCTGTCAAAGAAAAAACAGTGGGTCTGGAGTTGTGCACAGCAAAAAGCCTTTGACCAGATTGAAAATTACCTAACATCAACACCTGTTCTTACACTCTATGACCCAAACAAAGCACTGAAATTGTCAGCAGATGCCTCATCCTACAGACTTGGAGCAGTCCTTTTTCAGAAAGAGGGTGAGCAGTGGAGACCTGTAGCATACACATCACGCTCCTTGAAAGAGGCAGAGCAGAGGTGGAGAAAGAGGTGCTTGGACTAACGTGGGGTTGTGAAAGATTCAAAGACTTTCTCATAGGGAGACACTTCTCATTAGAGACCAACCACAAGCCACTTGTCAGCTTGCTGGGACAACAAGCCCTAACAGAGCTTCCACCCAGGATCCAGCGGTTCAGACTCAGGCTCATGAGGTACAGCTATACTATCTCACATACTCCAGGCAAAGCACTTTTCACAGCGGACACACTGTCACGCACACCTGTCAAACAAGACACAGATTCAACAGCAGATCTACTGGTCGACACAAACATTTATGTGGATGAAATAGTCAAGAGCCTGCCTGCTAGTTCAATGTACATTACAAAATTGAAAGAACAGCTAAGAACAGACAGCATATGCTCTGAAGTCATGTCATTTTTCAGAGAGGCTGGCCAGAGTATAGCCATCTCACAGTCCCAATCAAAGCATATTGCCCACATAGAGACAGTCTAACTGTACACAACGATTTGTTACTGAAAGGCACCAGACTAGTTATTCCTACCTTTATGCACAACTCCGTCCTCACAGCCTTGCACGAGGGACATCAGGGAATGTCAAGATGCAGAGAGAGAGCTAGAGAAACCGTGTGGTGGCCAGGTCTGAGTAGCCAAATCAATAAACTTGTGAGAAACTGTACTGTATGCATTAAAGAATGAGCCAACCCAGTGGAGCCTGTAATGCCCAGCGAGCTCCCTGAAAGACTATGGGAAAAAGTTGGAGCAGATCTTTTTTCTCTCAACAATAGCAACTATATTCTTATTGTGGACTACTACTCAAGATTTGTCGAGATACCCAAACTAACACCCACAAGATCCGAGGACGTTATAGTTCACTTAAAATCAATCTTTTCCAGACATGGCATTCCAGAGTTCTTCTACAGTGATAATGGACCTCAGTTCTCTAGCCAACAGTTCAAAGACTATGCAGCATCCTATGCATTCAGACATATAACCAGCAGTCTGAAGTTTGCACTAAGCAACAGAGAGGCTGAACATCATGTCCAAATGCTGAAAAGACTCCTAAAAAAAGCAAAAGACCCATATCTTGAACTTTTAGCTTACCAAGCAACCCCACTGGCTAATGGGTATAGCCCAGCTCAACTAATACTACTACTAATGGGATGGAGACTTTGCACCCCGCTCTTATGTTGTTAAGAGCCCTTCAGGTGCCATCAGGAGAAACAGGTATCACCTTTTTCCATTGCCAGAAATCACACCAGAAATACAAATCCCAAGTACTCCAGTCAGACCTCCAGAGGGCGTCATGCTAACTGTTCAGAGTCTACAGCTCAGGCTCCAAAGAAAGAAACCCCAGCTCCAGTCAGTACTAGGTTTGGGCGTGTCATCATAAAACTTCAGAGACTGGACTTATAAAAAGGGTTTTGCTTATATAGAAAGTAATGTGTCTAATGAGTAAGTGTCTAATTAGTGAAAAAAAATAGTTTGTTTTTCTGTACGCAGTAAATGTTCATTTTAAGTCTGCGTTGTTTTCAGTAAAGGGGATGTGGTGTATTCTGTTATAAAATTTGCTTTTATTGTGAAAACCCCAAACTGAAAGTTCTAACGTGACTCTGTAAGATGTATATAGCAGAGAGAGACGAATAAAAGAAGAGGAATGTTGAGTAGCTCTAAGTGTGTTGCTTGAATACCTACGCATAAATCTACGACACTGGAAGTTCAAATTGACAGGCATTTAAACTGTAATAACGCTCAAATTGGCAGGTAGGCCATTTTGACTGACCCTAATACACATAGGCACATAGCCTACAGTTGTAGTTTAGCTGAAATTCTGCTTCTTTCCTAATTATTGTGGCCATATTTAAAACAGTTGTTCATACAGTTAGTGTGAGAGTGGCATTTTCAGTAAAATCATGAGGTATGCATGGGGCTTCTCTTGACCTTAGGCAGCACCCTCTGTGTTCCAGATACCTGCACACATCCTGTAGCAGCCTTTCATTTGAAGCTCTTTGTTTAGTCACTGAGTTTGGTCAGTGGGTTTGGTCAGTGGGTTTGGTCAGGGGGAGGAGTAGAGGCTGAGCACCACAAGAGGCTGAGGAAAGGGTTCTGTGAGTAAATAATGATGAAATATAAGAACACCCCCCCTGAACCGCCACCTTATCGTGGTGGAGGGGTTTGGGTGCCCGAATGATCCCAGGAGCTATGTTGTCGGGAGCTTCTTGCCCCTGCTAGGGTCACCCAAGACAAACAGGTCCTGGGGGAAGGGTCAGACGAAGAGCGGTTCAGAAGCCCTATATGATGATGTCCATTCAGAGGCTAGCTGTGTTGCCTGGGTCTGCATTACCAGGGCTCTACCCTGGAGCCAGACCTGGGGTGGGTGCTCGCCAGCGAGCGCCTGGTGGCCGGGCCTTCCCCCACGGGGCCCAGCCGGGCTCAGCCCGAAGGAGCGACGTGGGGCCGTATTCACGTGGGGAAGATCCATATGGGGCTGGTGCACAGAGATCTGAGCAGCAGTCGACGGCGGGGGCCTCAGCAACTGGATCTCCGGACGTGGAGACTAGCTCTGGGGACATGGAATGTCACCTCGCTGGGGGGGAAGGAGCCTGAGCTTGTGCGGGAGGTTGAGCATTACCGACTAGATATAGTCAGCTTTACCTCCACACAGTTTGGGCTCTGGAACCCAACTCCTTGAGGGGGGCTGGACTCTCCATTTCTCTGGAGTTGGCGGCGGGCTGGTGTGGGTCTGCTCATTGCCCCACAGCTCAGCCGTGGTGTGTTGGAGTTCACCCCAGTGAAGGAGAGGGTAACGTTCCTGCGCCTACGGGTCGGTGACAGGTCTCTAATTGTGGTGCTGGTCTATGGGCCGAACAGCAGTGTAGAGTACCCGGCCTTCTTGGAGTCCCTGGGTGCAGGTGGGTGGAGAGTCCCTGCTTCAAGTGGAGAAGTTCACATATCTCGGGGTCTTGTTCACGAGTGAGGAGAGGACGGAGTGTGAGATTGACAGGCAGATCGGTGCAGCGTCTGCAGTGATGCAGTCGCTGTATCGGACCGTTGTGGTGAAGAGGGAGCTGAGTCAGAAGGCGAAGCTCTTGATTTACCGGTCAGTCTTTGTTCCTACTCTCACCCATGGTCGTGAGCTCTGGGTAATGACTGAAAGGATGAGATCACGGATACAAGCGCTCGAAATGAGTTTCCTTCGCAGGGTGGCTGGGCGCTCCCTTAGAGATAGGGTGAGGAGCTCGGAGTAGAGCCGCTGCTCCTCCACGTCGGGAAGAGCCAGTTGAGGTGGCTCGGGCATCTGTTCCAGATGCCTCCTGGGCATCTCTCTCGGGAGGTGTTCCAGGCATGTCTCACCAGGAGGAGGCCCCGGGGAAGACCCAGGACATGCTGGAGGGACTAGGTCTCTCGACTGGCCTGGGAACGCCTCGGGGTCCCCCCGAAGGAGCTGGAGGACGTGTCTGGGGTGAAGGAAGTCTGGGAGTCCCTGCTTAGACTGCTGCCCCCGCAACCCGGTCCCAGATAAGCGGAAGAAAATGGATGGATGGAAGAACACCAAGCCCTACCCCTGCATTCTCATGCGCTTAGTCTTTTCTACCAAGGAAAGAACACTGGATAACAGAGTAGCCAGAATATTTTATTAATTTGTTGTCAGTGCACAAAATGGACAATGAACAAAGGGACATTCACATGGGTCTTTTTATTTTTAGAAGTTGTCTCTTGCTGATTGTAGTGTCAGACTGTAGTGGGTAACTGTTTACAGCTGTGGGCAGTGAGCCCAAGGCAAAAATGTTTATCTTATTTTAATGATCATTAATATACATATTATATCATAAGATAATATTGTATAAGATCTACCAGGGGATACTCTGGCCTTTATAATCCAGAAAAGCTCCGTTGTGCTTCTCGGTCAAGGAGTTGATCACCTGCAGCATCCCCTGGACACTCTCGTGAGCGTCTATGTCGGCCTGAAGGTGAAAGAGAAAAAATATATAGAAATCAAAGCTGTAAAACCAACGCAATCTGAAGCAAAGAAATACTTTATTCATAAGGGACACACAGTTTATCGAAACGATGCAGGCTTTATAACTACAGAACTAATACTGACATCAAACCCCCTTAAAGTGTCTTTTTATACAACTGTTTTCCATGTAGTTGAGCACATTTTTTCCCCTATCGCACAAATATAGCATTTATACACTTTATTGCCCCCTTAGGGAAACTTGTTCTCTGCATTTGACCCATCCTGCTGCTATGTCAACCTGCAAGAGCAGCGGCCCTAAATAAGATTGACATGTGCTGCCTGCATCTATTTGACCTTTTTATCATCCCAGAATCAGGAAGTGCCCTGTTAGCAAAACTTTGCTCTGGTCTTTGAAAGTTGGGAAAATATTATGAAAAATATTATCTTATATCTTATAAACTCACTGCTATTAATAACTATGTTGGGAAGGTGTTAAGATTCTTCTTAATTATCTATTAATAAACTATCTCTTTACTAAGAATGAAATCTTCTTCATGTTTTCTTAACCACCATAGCCACACCAATTATGTTGTAGTTATAAAGTGTAACCAGTATCAGTATGTTACTTCGATCCAGATAATAGACTTTAACATAAACAATACATGTCCTGATGCATCCTGACTTGAATGTATAATGTAAAAATAGTTACATAAGATTAGAAGATCAGTTCTTCTATCTTCTAATCTTATGTTTAATTATTGATCAGACTTGAGATATAGGTGTTCACTCACATCAGCTGTGCCCATGTCTGTCTTGACCCATCCTGGGTGCAGCACAATGAACAGAATCTCCTCCTTCTGGAACTCAAACGCAGCACAAGCGGTCAGCATGTTCAGCCCCGCCTGGAGGGAGGGAGGAAGAACCTTTACTATATAATTCCACATATTTTGATTCATATATTTAATAACTTTTGAATGTATCTACAATGTAAAAAACTACTACTACTAAAAAAGTAGTTAGCATAACAACAGAAAAAGCAATGAATGAGAAGGTATGTCTGTTACAATGTTCTTTATTCATTATAACTATACGAAGAATTGTGTTTTGTTTCATGCTGCTCCACCTTGTGATGTCATGTGGTAATACAGGGAGTGCTCCACTGTGTTTTTAAACATGCACCTTCACTAATATCATTTGGATAGCTGTGCTGGAATTGCCAAACCCCATGAACAAAAGGTAAAAGGAGCTGTTAATTTGAAAACTAAGGCTTCATGACATCACAAAGCGGAACAGAGCATTTTGAGCTTTGGAAATGTAGAAGTGATGGAGAAGAGATGGAGAAGTGTTAAGCGTTTACCTTACTGGCACGGTAGGGGACTGTCTGGAAAGATGTGAATGACTGTGTACGGCTTTCGATTGATCCGAGAATGGAGGAGAGGTTGATCACAGCAGCTTTTTCACAGGACATCCCAGGCACCTTGCTTTTCTTTACTGCATCACGCAGATAAGGAAGAAACTCCTAAAAAATAAAATATTATGCCAGATTTATATATAAACTAAATACTGATTAACATTTTTGCTTCTCTTACTTGAATGACGCTCATGGGGCCGATTACATTAGTGTTGAATTCTTTAGCCATTGCCTCTGGAGTGGAGTCAGCTACATTAGAGTAAGTTAAGGTGGCTGCATTGTTAATGACAAGGTTTAGGCCTTTTCCTCCCAGAAGTGAGCCCACCTTTTCAGCAGCCTGTTTAATGCTGCTTCGGTCTGCAGTGTCTAACAAGGATAAAAACATACACATTATTAGTCTGGCAAACAAGCAAAATAAGTAATGCATTGTACCCAGTAATGCATTGGATGCAGCCTATACAATGCCTTTCAAGACACCCAAAGCACTTTGGTAGTACCTGGTATTTCTTAATCATTAATAGATTCAGAAAGAGTGCACATGGTATATCTATATCTATATCTATATCTATATCTCTATCTATCTATCTATCTATCTATCTATCTATCTATCTATCTATCTATCTATATATATATATACATATATATACCATGTGCAGAGTCCTCCTTTAACCTTTATCTTTTTACTGTTTCATGGCAGAGTTCTAATGGATAAACTATACTGAACTATATAACTATAGCTACCATATATTGACTAGTTCAAGTAACTGTAATCTAATTACTAAATTTTTAATAATTATTGCTCAACACTGATTTGAACTCACCCATACGAATGATTTTGATGATGGCTGAGTGTTTCTTTGCCAGAGCTCGCAACTCCTAGAAACAGAATCATGCTTTGTTGGTATGATTGCATTTTGCTGTAAACTTTTAATAATCAACTGTATATGAACAACTGTGTAATTTACCTCTGCTTTTGGTCCGTCCGGGTCTCTACAGCAAGCAAACAGCACATTCAAAGGACTCTGCATCATTTGTTTGACCATCTCCAGACCCAGGCCTCTGTTGGCCCCTGTTATTAACACGCTGATCGGTTTGGAAGACATTTTCCTCTTCTTTGCAGGTTTGACCCAGTGCACTTGAAACTGGTCTTGTGCAGTATTTATTTTAACAGATTTAACCACTCCCACAGGTTTAACCACTCCCACTCCTCCTCAAAAAAAAATGCTGTGTCATAGTAATGTATGTAATGTAACTATGACATGCAAAAATTACAATTCCATTAGAATAAGATGATTTCATTGAAAGATTATTTCAGTATTTAAAATGTAAGTTTATATACAAAATCTCTATATGTGTCACTGTATTTAAAGAAGTTTTTATCTTCTTTTTTGATCTCTGTGCTATACCTGCATCTGGCTTCCAATTAAGGCTGTGCGATATGGGGAAACAAAGAATCAAGATTTTTTTCCCCTCATATTGATCGATCTCGATTTTTGATTCAATCTTTTTCCATCTTAGTGAAAACATAGATGGGTTTAAGGAGCAGGGTGTCAGGATCACTACAGTTTTAAACAATTCTGGAGAAATTCACATTTAAATGTTTGGAATAAGTTTTATATTTATCAAACCTAAATGCATAACGTGTTATGTGTTACGGTAAAAACACACGCACACGCTACCGCTGTCAACAGAAACACACGTGATGACTGTGCGCTAAATGAGATCTTAAGTTTCACTCATAAAAAGGTGAGAAAACAGTTGTTTACTCTCTGTAACTTGGATTATAATGAATAATGATAAGAACATAGACTGTGCAAAATAATATATACGGCCTATGCATAAGAAGCACCAGAGGAGAAAAGGTCAGGAGCTACAGCTGGATCAGATCAGAGAGTGAGGGGGAGTGAGAGAACACAGCACTCACACTGAGGCAGAAGGAAGGAAACACTGGACATTTAGTCAAATTGTGCAAATTTAAGTCAGAAGTTGTGAACACGTGAGGAGATGTAAAGAGCCGCACTGACTGCTTTTTCCTAAACAAGAGGGTAAATCCTAGTCAGCAACATGCACTCTTCCTGCCACACGATTGGCTGTAGACCTGTTGATTATAATGCACATGCCTTATCATCGAGATCGACCAAAGTAGAGATCGCCATCTATCGATTTTTCGATTTTTAGCACAGCCCTTCCAAATTATGAAAAGTTGTTGTTTTTTAAACAATAGAAGGAGAGGATAGCAAGATTAAACAAAAGATAGTATATAATATGTTATTAGGTTATTTTTTTCAGACCTAGAGTGTTATTTCATACCTGACAGTTTCGACTGCTCACTAGCGTCTTCCTCAGAGTCACGTGATGTTGTTGTGACGTGTCTGGTCAGCTGATTTAAACAGGTTTTGGCGCTGTCTTCCTACCGGTGGAGGCAGGACGACAGCGCCATCTGCAGTCCGACTTCCTCAGGACAGCATCCCAGGTGTGTGAGAGTAAAAAAGCCCCCTCGTCCCGGTTTACAGTCCTGTGGGCACGTTTCCGTATTTCGATTGCTTCTTTAATCCAGCGGCGATGTTTGTTTTCCTCTGTCCCAATGATGTTTGCTCCATCCCAATCCATAACGTGGTTCTCTCTTTTACAATGGTCAGAAATGGTGGATTTGAGTTGTTCCTGTTCTGCTTTGTGCTTTGTTGCACGTGTGCACGCCTTTGCTGTTTCCTTCTCGCATTCTGTTCTATGTTCCCTTTTTCGTGTACTGAACGTCCTCCCTGTTTCCCCGATGTATGTCTTATTGCAAGACATGCAGGGTATTTCGTATATTACATTACATTTATGCTCCGGTTCTATTTTGTCTTTCGGGTGGACGAGTAATTGTCTGAGTTTTCTGTACAGTTTCACTGGTGTGTTGATAGTGTTTTTTCATCGCCCTCTGTACTTTTTCTGTTATGCCCCTGATGTATGGTAATGTTACCATGCCTGTGCTCATTTTTTCTGTTTTGTTTTTGTTTCTCTGGTTCTGTTTTTCTTTCTCCTTAACCTGTTGTTTCCCTTTGTTTATTGCCCATTTTGGGTATTGGCATTGCCTTAGCGCATTGAGAATGTGTCCGTCTTCTCCTGTTTGTCTTGTTCATCTGTTATGATGTTGGTTCTGTCATACAATGTTCTTACAACGGAGAGTTTGTGGGCTGTGGGATGTTCTGATGTCCACAAGAGATACTGGTCCGTGTGGGTTGGTTTTCTGTGTATTTTTATTTTGATGCTGCCATCTTCCCTGTGTGTAATGTTCATGTCCAGGAAATTTATTGTATTGTTTGTTTCTTCTTCATGTGTGAATTGCTAGTGAGCAGTCGAAACTGTCAGGTATGAAATAACACTCTAGGTCTGAAAAAAAGAACCTAATAACATAGAATATTGGAAGACCAAATGAATCTCATTGGACTAGATAGCATATAATGAAATGTGTCTGCAGAAATGTCTTTAGCTTCATGTTTTGGTGCCATGTTTAGGACAACTGATCATTTAAAAGGTATATTAGGGTTTTGAATTGTTTGTCACCATAGCAACCATCCTAACTTGGATTGCAAAGATCTGAATGTGTGTAGTTATCATTGTTGTTAATTAACTTTACAGACATTTTCAGAAATGTAGTTTTCTCAGATATTTTCATTTGATATAATTTATTCACCCCCTCTTGCTGATATCTGGAGGAGCCTTTAGCAACTATGGGTCAATTCTAGGTCCTAAAATAAACATTCCAGTAACAAGGATAAAATAACAGAAAGAGCCCAGCCAAAGGTGAATTTGTGTACTTACATCCAAACAAGACACATAACCAATGTAACTCAATGCCCCGCACTGACAGTCCAAACTTAAAGAGTCGGTCATCTCGATGTTTAACACTCTTTGTGTCCCCCACTGCTGGTGAAACAAAGGATGTAAGCAACACATACAAATAAATATTATAAAAATCTAACAAGTTGTTTAAGTCACATTTGAATACAACATTTAGTGTGACAAAAACACACCCACAACATAGAAGGACATCTTTCATTTGGCCTCTAGGGGAGAAATTGGCAGTGTCTTGCTCTTACTGAATACTGTAGGAGAATTTTGGAGGGTGGACATTGATTAATATTCAAATTAAAAGTAAAGACAACTTAAGAGATAGATGTAATGCGTATGTGGATATGGGTAATGAAGTATAGAGATGATGTTACACAGGCTGGCACATGCATGTTTGCTTTTTAGGAACGTTACATTGATTTACAGTAATTTTCTGTAGACTAATCCTAACTTTATCCATAGTTGCTAATGTCTAATCTTAACCTGAAATTGAATCTATTTTAACCCATATTTGATCTGTAAACCATGTTGTTGATCTAATAATGAAGCATTTGCATCATGGGGACCTGATCCATAATGGAGGCAGTTCTCCATGAAGACAGTGTATATAGACACAATGTGATAAACACCCACTCATCTCATTTTAATTAATTCTATTAATTATTTCCACAGAATATCTAATAGTCTAATCTTTCCAAACCTTATTAGGCTAGTATACTTCTAATCCTATTGGTACAGTATTACTATTACTATACTATTTGTTTTAGCCCATTACTAAGCATTTCTGAAAACATTATCAAAAGTTGGCTGTTACTTTTCAGTTGCTTTGAAGACAAACTTTGTGTTAGTTTTAGATATTAAAGTGTAAGCCTTATCATACAATCAAAATTAGTCAAAAGGGAGTACCAAGCCTGAATTAACAATAACAGAAAGGAAGGATAAACACACACATCATCATCATGAGTAAGCATAATACGTACATAACAGATATAGCGAACTTATCTGATAGACACTAAATAAAAGCAAACATTTGCTAGTGGCCCCACCTCCTCCATTCTCCCACAGTTCTCGTCTCATAGTTGTATACTTCCTCACATGTATACATTCAAACGGCACATAAAGTACGCGATGCAGTACATGATGCAGTAACATGCACATACATACAAATAAATAAATATGTTTTTTTTCTTCTCATAAATGCACTTGTGTCCGCAGCTCTCCATTTGAAAATCTGAAGGTGCATACATAAAACATTCCCAGTTGTTATTATAGAAAAGGTCCATGCATGTCTTGGCACTTCTGAGTTCAGCATTGAGTTTGTGCTTGTGCCATCCATTCTTCAGTGAAATTAAGTCTTGGTTTCTTATTCCATATTGGGACAGTGTTTGTTTATTTATGTTTCTCACAGATGGGTGCTGTCCTGCGTATCAAACCGATGACTATCTGAAAGGCCGGCGCTGCACTTCCGACTGTTTCCCTGATTGGGGACGATTGAGAGGGGATCTGGTCTGATTAAATACCTATGCATGAACACAAGAATGAGTAAGTTTACCAGGTGTGCATGTTTGTGTTTCTTTTGTGTGTTTTTTAATCTTCTATGTACTCACACAACATCATGCAGCTCCAGCCGAGTGTCCGGAGAAGGGTTGATGAGGATGTAGGACAGTCTGTTGCCTTGGTCGGTCATTCCATCTGACACAATAGGAAGAGAAGGATAAGGAAGACGAAGAAGAGAAGGAAAAGGAGACAGGAAATCACAGTATGTTTAGATATGCAGTCTGTACTGTATCTGGCCCTTTTTGACTTGCTTCTGGAATCACATTTTTACAGTCTTTTTAACATATTATTGAGATCACTGTTTTCTGCACATGAATCTTTGTTTGTGTGGAGTGTGTGTATTTTGGACTAACAAATTGTATTATTATTAGTCTGTACTGGATATACTTTAATTTAGTATTTTACTTTTGGGTCGATACATCAAATCAACTGTCATATACAGGATAGTAACCATCAGTATTTATGATTTATGATGATTTCAGCCCTAGTATTTCCAGTCTACACTGTCCTAAAGGCAAGAGGGAGCTGTTAACTTTAAAAACCGCCACTAAATGACATCACAAGATGGAACAGAGCATACTGAGTTTTGGATATGTAGACATTCTAATAATAAAGGAGTATGCAAACGTGTGAATGAAACAAAACACAACTTAGGTATGTTTTTGATGAAGAGTAAATTTTGTGTAATTAAGTAGTAAATTTTAAGTAAATTTAGTTGTAAACATCTATTGTTAGCATAGCATCAAGGCAAATGTCATAACCGGTCTGCTTACTGAATCCAGTGGGAGACAGGCCCAAGTGTTTCATCCTGGTCCGGACTAAGGCGTTGAGCTCTTGTCTCTCGGAGCGCCTGAACAGGGTGAGTCTCTGTTGGCTGATCCGCTCTGCCGCTCCCCGGACCCCCCTTGGCTGCGCTGGAAGTCCTCCCCCCTTTCCGGCTCAGTCTGCGTGCCCACTGCATGCTCTTCCTCCTCAGCAGCGGGTGGTCCGTGGTGTGGGATGAGGAGGAGATGGGCTCGGAGGAGGTGGAGTTTCGGTGAGAGCCTGACAGAAGAGGCTCTCTGCTCTCCCTGGTGTCCTCATAGTCCTCCACTGTGATAGACACTTGGGACTGGACACACAAAAATGGCTTTATACAAGCTGAAACATTATAGTATCATTTCTATTGATTAAAGTGTCCAAGGACATAGTTTTAATTATTCTAGTTTGGTGACAAATTAATAATTGTCTCATATCATACTGTAAATAACCTGCTTGTGATGGGAATGTTTATAGTATACTTTAAAGGTCCTATATTACACAAAATTGACTCTTGTGAGCTTTTAGCCATGTTATAATGCTGTTTCCTCATCCAAAAGATGTGTTTTTGTTTATTCACACATGTTTGAGTAACCCTGCATTGCTGAGCTGTCTGTATCTCCAAAGGCCAAAATGCTCTGACCTTGTGATGTCAGGTAGTGGTAGTTTTCTCAGACCTCAGAGCATGTGTGGGTGTGTAAATTTGGATGAGGTCCGAGACGTACTGTGAGGCCAGTCCATTCAAAGCTGTAAAAACAAACAATAAAATCTTAAAATCAACTCTTAAAACGAAAAGGAAGCCAGTGCAACAACACTACAATTGGGGTGATGTGCTCACGTTTTTTGGTTCCAGTTAAAAGGCGCACAGCAAAACTTTGGACCAACTGTAAGCGAGGAAGTGCAGGGTGGCTAATGCCAGAGAAAAGTGCATTACAGTAGTCTAAATGAGAGGAGATAAAGGTGTGCATGACCTGTTCAAATTATTTAAAAGATACAAAAGGTTTAATTTTAGTTAAAAGCCGCAAATGATAAAAGCCAGATTTAACACCCACGTTCACTTATTTGTCAAATTTAAAATCACTGTCAATAGTGATGCCACGGTTGGTGACACACTGTTTTACATGATGTTTCAGTGGGCCCAAGTCATTGAAGGGGTCAGCATTGCCAAACACAATGACCTTAGTTTTGCCTTCATTTAGACTTAAAAACTTGTGAGCCAACCAACATCACTAAGACAATCAAGGGGAGGCAGAAGCAGATATGAAGGATTTGTGTGTTAAACATGTGTGAATGAAACAAAACACAACTCCAGGTATGTTTTTGATGTTAACATAGAATCACGTAATATGGACCCTTTAAGGAAACAGCTTGTCCAGAGAAAAATGTCCTCAGTACAACCAAGAAAACATAAGCTGTCCAAAAATATCATATAAAGACATCCCTAATATTTAATGATGCACTTTTTATGACTTTAACCAGTCTAGTCTTGTAGTTATGAATGACTATAGAAGGTAAACATTTTGCATAGGGCACTCACAAATGTCCCTATGCACTATCCACGATTTTTATTTTTATTAAGGAACCGGGTCATACATTTCTACACTTAAAACTCAGACTAAAATTCGTAGTCAGTAAAAAGCCAAAATAGACAATATACGATATCATCTGGTTTGATAACAGTAACTAGACTTAGGATTAATAAAATATTTGGCACAGTTGTTAATTGTGTATTACATTTTATCCACTTGGGGGCAGTAGAACAGTGCACTGCAACAGCTTTGGCAAGTACGGACTAATAATAGCCCAACTACATCATAAACTCAGGATATTTTTAGCACTGTTATTTCTAATCAATTTCTGCAAGATTTATTTTTAGCTTTGTGATTTAGAATGGCTGCAGTCATTTTATAATTATTTACGTCTTTTGTCGCACAACAGCAGTAAATAGTGCCAGGAGATGTTGTTAATCACGTAAGCAATTATCCAGAAATTGCTGTGTCCTTTGCAATTAAAGTAAAGAGACAGTTTAATTCTGTGGAAAGACCATTGCCAATGAAAAAGTAACACTAAGATACACCGAAAATGTTAAGTGTCTGACCTCTGACACTGGCAGCTTGTGTGCTTCTGTTCTGTAAATCCCAATGGGAATGTCTCCGGTGGATGAGCACAGTTTCTGGTAAAGTCGTCCATAAGTTCTTATCCATAGATCATCTTCTGTTATTTTCATCTAAAACAAAAAGCTGTTTCTTGTCAAGTATTTTAGTGTTTCAGTAATATTCGTATGTGTACTCACGGCACATAGGAATCCAGACCCAGGCATGGAGTCCAGGCCAAGAAGCAGTCTGGCAATGGAGATCATGTAGTCTTTTACGAATGACTATAAAGAAAGAAAAGAAGTGAGCTCAAATCTATAATACTAATAATGTAGTGATAAGCTACTTCTGTACTTCACAGCGAGATAATCTCTGTTTAAGTTTAAGACCTATAAGTAAAGAATATGCAAAGTACAACTATTTATAATAATACATTCTCAGGAAAAGGTTGTTCTCAAATTGTCGATTGTTCACAAGGTTGAGCTATCACTAAAGTACAAATACAGCTGTAAATGTAGAGGGCAGTTAGATAGAGCTTTGACCCAAATGGACATAAATTGCAATTGTGTTCTTGGACAAGACACTAAACCCTCCTCCACCAGACAGGGATCAGAGCTGATAAGAATAAATGTGGTTAGTTTTTGAGCACCTGATACAGCAGTGTGTCTAGCATGCTAACACTGAAGACCTTCCCTGCAGCGAAGGGCAAGCGAAACATGAACACCAAGTTGGAGCCTTTTTCTCTTTCCTTCTGCGAAAAACATATCACAAAAATGAGAGCGGATACAAAGTTCTTCTTATAATAATTATCTGTCAGTAACAAATCTCAGTAAGGCACCAGATTTCTACGAATAATAACTGCAAACTTCATTATGGTGACTTGATATAGCATTATCAATCCTAACAGTGTGATTTCATTGGAGATGAGTTCAGCAAATGAAATTACAAAAGCTAAGTGCTGTGGGGTATAGGGAAACCAAAACTCAAGACTATAATTGGGTACAAAGTATACCCATTATAATTTTCATTAACGCATGTCATCACAATCAGTGTAACCCAGTTTTCAGTTCACAAGGTTAAAGCACGAGTGGAGGACCGTGTCAATAAATTATTCACCTTCTCGAGTTTGGACAGAGCCAGAGAGTAATGGTCTTTGACTTTGAACTGCATGAAGCGCATGTTGGCTGGATGTGTGAGCTCCGTGATGATGCTGAGAGCTGGAAACAATCTGCAGGAAAAAAAACAGTATTTTCTTTGTCATTTTTTGTTAGATTATCAGTATGGTATCTTGAAATCTGTCACAGTATCCGTTTATCATAGGGTACACAGTACACATGATAGGGTATACAGTACTCTACTCTACTCATTGATCATTATAAGACAGTACAGTTTGTCTTAATTTGGCTTTAAGTAATACTAGCATTGTGAAATATCCTTAAAGGTCCTTTATTAAGCTAAATTGACTCTTGTGAGATTTAGCCAGGTTATAATGATGTTAACTCATCTAAGACATACCTAGAGTTGTGTTTTGTTTCATTCACACATGTTTGAGTAATCCTCTGTTACTAGTCAGTCTACATCTCACAAGCTCAAAATGCTCTGTACCACCTTGTGAGTGTGTAGTTTTCAAGTTAACAGCTGCCAGGGTTGAAATCCAATCCAAATGATGCTAGTGAAATTGATTGGAGCTTAAAAATACAGTGGAGAACTTCCTGTATTACCACATAACATCACAGTCATTATTTTTGGTTTTCAGTGTTTTCTGAGAGAAGAACTCAGCCTAAATATGCAGGATTTGTGTGTTAAGCATGTGAATGAAACAAAACACAACTCCAGGTCTGTTTGTGATGTGGAAACAACATTATAACATAGATCAGAAAATATTGTAATATGGGCCCTTTAAGATAGGGAAAAACAGACCTATACAAAAAATATCAAGAAGAAAAATGGATTAATGTGCTCTTTAAATGTAACTAAATCACCCTCTTTTTTTCAGCACCATACCATACCTGAAAAGCGTTTGAACATTTACAATTGTCTTCGCGTCTGCCATGTAGTCCTCCTCTGCGATCATCGAACTCTCCTTGTCTACTACCACCATGGTGTCTGCAAACGTGACTCCACATCGCAACAAGCTGTCCAGACTGAAGAGGAGGGTGAGGAGCATCAACAGCAACAAAAAGAGAAAAATCATCCAGGCTACAGCATGAAAATCTAAGACTAAAGGAGCATGCTTAAAATGGTCTTCGTTTGGTGGTCTTACTTGTCAATGGAGCCCACTGTGTAGAAGACCATGGGGAACCAGCATATCGCCTCAAGGAAGTCTGCTTCAGGTCTAAAGCAATAAAAACACAAATAGTTTCGAGATTCCCAGTGATTGTGCTTTATGCAGCCTGTGATGAAGTATGGCCCCCCTAACCCCCCTCCTTTTTTATTTGTATGAGAAAATACAACTCAGACTAACGGCCTGTGGAGAAGAAAGACTGTGTCTGTGTGACTCAGCATTTGACTGCTGTTTTATTGAATTGTGCTTTGGTTTGGCTGCTGCTTATGAACCAGACGGCACTGACACTACAGAGGCACACAGAAAATTATCCTGGAAACAATTTATTTCACTTTTTGCACAAAATGATACATTATTTGTTTCTATTATGAATCACTTAACTATAAACAAATGGTTCTGAGTTTTCCATCTGAGCTCAAGAATTACATTGTCAAATATAATTTATGTTGATACTTCATCATTAAGTTTGCAAAGTCTTTAAAAACAATTTAAAATACAACTCAACAAAGGAAGGTAATAGAAAGTATATTCAGGCATGGTTCAATAAAATTTACTTGTTAACAGACCATGTTATAACTATGTTCCCTCATCATTAACTTAGTCAAAGTTGTATTTACATCAGTTTATGCATGTTTGAGTAATCCTACATGGTTTTGTATTTAGGCTTGAGTGCTCAGATAATCTCTTTTTGGCCATATGCCTCCAAGTATGCTCTATTGTATAATGCAAGCTGTTTTTACTTTAAAGTTCCTATATTACACAAAATTTACTCTTGTGAGCTTTAAGCCATGTTATAATGTCGTTACCTCATCAAGTTTGTTGTGTTTCATTCATACATGTTTCAGTAATCCTTTATTATTAGTCTATCTACATCTCCAAAGCTTAAAATGCTCTGCACCACCTTGTGATGTCATGTAGAGGTAGTTTTCAAGTTAATAGATACCTTTTAACTTTTGTTTAGCAGAGATAGGCAATTCCAAGTCTGAAGTCAACCAAATGATTCTAGGGAAGCCGTATAAAGTTTAAAAACAGAGTGGAGTACTTCCTGTATTGCCACATGACATCACAAGGTGGAAAAGAGTGTTTTCCATTTGAGAGAAGAACTATGCAGGGTTGTGTGTTAAACATGTGTAAATGAAACAAAACAAAACTCCAGGTATGTTTTTGATTTGGAAACAACATTATAATCAGAAAATAGAGTAAGATGGGCCCTTTAAACTACTTCACTTAGCCTAGAATATCTTTTTAATGCTAGTAAAGTAACAAAAACTATATCTCAGTGCAGTGACCGCACTTAACTAAGAATAAACACAGAGAATGATGCTTACATGCTCTCCAGCAGCAGCACAATGGGGTTAAGCTCCTTCCTGGGTCTATAGTAGGCACGCAGAGGCACTATAAAGTTGTACAGGCCATTCCCTGCGCTCTCCGCCGACACAATGATCAGTTTGTTTTTGAAGCCATACGAGCGTGCATCCTCAAAGGGGATGTGGTGACAGGCCTGGGACACGAGCACAACATGAAACATGGCTGTAACTGGGGTCAGGACCTCCAGGATCAGACCACACACAAACCTTATCCATACGCAGGCAGCAAAAAGGCATCTTCTCCTGAAGCAGATGGCACAGTGCAGGTGAGCTGCCGATGTATGGGGAGTTCAGAGGGTACCCTTTCACCCATCTGCAACACAGCAGTACAGGGACTTTGAAAGACAAGCTGTTTCAAGTATGTTTATTTAGACAAGCTTTGACTACTTATTTGGAAATTTATATCATTTATAATGAATGTATGAAATTATAATGTGATTTTTTGTTTGCTTTTGGACTGTAACTTCCCTGAATGAAAAGCATGTTATAAACATATTTAAACAAATATATTAGTGGCACTTTCATTTACAGTTATTGTGAAAAAATGAATAAATAAATAAATAAATAAACCTTTATAACAAAGTGTAATTAAGGTGATTACTCATGGGCTCATCTGTCATTCTATTCTTTCGTAGTACTATTAACATAATTAATATAGAAAAAAATGCCAGGATTTCCTGGCAAGTGGAAACATGACTGCAAAAACATCATATAGTAGATCTTAGAACACATAATGCTATTTCATACTTAACACTCTGTGTTCACTGTACGATAATGTATAAATATATATATATATATATATATTATATATATATATATATATATATACTAACTGTACTTCTTCTTTGTCCTGACCCATTTCAAAAATTTTGTTTCTTTGCCTCAAAACACAGACACTTCTCAGTCTGAACTGTTTGACACTACAAAGTAAACAGATCAGACCCATACGAGTTATCTATAATTCAATCACTTTTTTTTGGCAACTGTTCAGATTTTGTTGATGAAAGTGGGTGTATTTATTATGTATCAGTAAAACAAAATTCTGCAAAATCACAGGGATACATACTCGCTGTGGCGAGCCCACCAGTGCGCACTCTCATCTCTGTCGCTGTCCTCTTTACTTTCCCCCTCCCCCTCATCTTCAGACTGGTCTGCCAAAAGGTCAAAGGTTGAGTGGCTGACTCCGTCCACCAGTTCCAGGACAGGGGCGATGCTGTGCCGCCTCTCCTCCGCAGAGTCCCCCATGGCGGGCAGAGCAAGAGTGTTAGCCCCACTCATCTCTGTCCTGGAGCTGCTTCTGCTGCCCCTGCCACTGCCCAGACCTGTGCCCACATCCTGCCCCTCTGGACTGCTGTCACTCGAGTCGTGGAGATCAATCGCCACAGTACCTAAAGTAAGAGCTCAAAGTTACTCTTCTCAAAGTAATGTGAATCCTGCTTCTCTCATTATAGAACACTGTTTCTCAAAGTGTGACCTCTTCAGATTACTACTGTAAAGGCATTTGATGTTCAAGTCCTGTTCTCTATTTTAGGTATGCACAATCACATTTTTGTAATACCAATACCTTTACTCAATACTGGACTAACCTCATGGGTGAAGACCTTCCAGTATTACTACAACTTATTGTTTAACACAGTTAATGTGACAAATCAAAACATCATTACTTTCAATAATGTCCTTCACAAAAACAATGAAGAAATTGCCCCACTATGTCAAAAAATTGCTGTTAGCTACCATCATCAATATATGCATAACAATATAGATAGCCATATTTGTACTGAGTCTGTATCAATATCCTCATCCGCAGTCGTCCTGTTTGAGAGCATTTGTTCCAAATGGCTCCAAACTCCATATGCCAGGTTGGTGTGCAAAATTTTATCTTATTTTCTTGTCATTTTGGTTCCAGATTTAGGTCCTAGCATCAGTTTCCATAATACATGAGCCTCACATGGTTTATCCTGATGTATGAAGAGAAAATTACAAGTCAACTAATTGAGCTTACTACCCCCTGGTTATATTTTAATTTTGGTCTGAGTTGGTCAAAATTAACTGCTTCACTATTTCTTTATTGTTTAGATCAGGGACTTATTTTCTTCAGTTAACGTGGTTTGAAGGTCAAAAATGTATAAAAAACTTTTGGAACCTCTGACCCAAGAAAAGATCTAAACTAGCCTTGAACACTACCTCATTAATCCTGCATTTTGGCCCCTGTCCAGTAGGAGGCGTGTTTGTAAAGCAGAGTACAGTACTGTGTGACATTTCAGTTGACTTGGCAGATGCACTTATCAACGGTGACTTTTAATCGGATACACGCTAGAGCCACTGAAGGCTATTTTCCAGACAAAAGCTCATGCTATCTCATATTTGCCCCGTTATTTCCCGTTTGTAAACATGTTCAAATACCAGGGGTGGAAAATTACTTATTACAAATACTCACATGACTGTAATTGAGTAAATTTTCTGACTAATTGTACTTTTTACAGGTTTTAAACTTTTAATTGAGTATAATTCTAGCCATGTATTGTATTGTTCTAGTTGACAACATTGAATCACCAGCTCTGATTGGTCAGAGAATATGAAAAAGAATATGTAGATTGTGTTTTCAAACAACTTAACTGTATAATTAAGTTTGGTATAAAAGACGGATCTAAAATTTACTAGTACTTTGAATAGTATTTTTCTTTTGCTTGTATAAAATTTTAGCAGCACTATTTGCAGTTGTAAGTATTTTTTTTTTAGCTATGTAACTGTAATGTAGTAACTGTAAAGGTGCATTGTGCACCTTCTCTGCTGGAGGGTCACCTGCTTGTCTCTATGGAGAAGCACCTAGAATGTGCCACAGTATGGTCATTGGTCATAAATTCATGAATCTCCATGGAGACTTATGCAAAATTACTGGTTAGATTTATGGAGAGCAACCCCACTCATAGTAAGAATGGATGTTTTTTAAGATATCTGAGAAATAAATAATACCTGTAGTTGAATAAATGCAAGACGAATGTGTTTGATACTATACTGTGGGCAATTTAAACCAAAATATCAACATCTACAAGGAGAAAAACAACCCCTCCAGAAAATTACACAGTGCTCCTTGCGTATACATTTTCAGCACTTTTTCCACTACTGTCAAATACATAGAATAACAAAAGAGTATTGTGGGCATAATACTACAGGACTGACCCATGCTGGCAATGATGCTGTGAACTGGGAGACGAGTGAGTCCATGGTAGATGCTTTGGTGGACCCCTCTCCCATCCCTCCCCCGCTGCCCCAGGACGGCTCCCGGTGACCGCGCACGAAGGCGGAGTTTTCTTCTTTGGAAATGTTGATGTAAAAACAGGTGTCTGATGCGCCCATGATGTGGCAGGGGCCGGGGTTCAGCAGGATGTTGGTCGTGTCTAGTCTCCGCACTCCTATCAAACACACCCCATATCTGCAGTAATAAAAAACATTGTGCATATTTAATAATCTAATCTAATAATCTAATATGCAAGTTTATGACTTTAGTTATACTTATATTTGGATTTTAAATACAACAATTTAGTACATTACAACCCAACTGTTCAGAAAATTAATAATATCCACACAATAACATGAATTATTTATAGTCCATCCATCCATCCATCCATTTTCGTCCGCTTATCCGGGGCCGGGTCGCGGGGGGAGCAGCCTAAGCAGGGACTCCCAGACTTCCTTCACCCCAGACACGTCCTCCAGCTCCTCCGGGGGGACCCCGAGGCGTTCCCAGGCCAGCCGAGAGACATAGTCCCTCCAGCGTGTCCTGGGTCTTCCCCGGGGCCTCCTCCCGGCGGGACATGCCCGGAACACCTCCCGAGGGAGGCGCCCAGGAGGCATCCGGAACAGATGCCCGAGCCACCTCAACTGGCTCCTCTCGACGTGGAGGAGCAGCGGCTCTACTCCGAGCTCCTCCCGTGTGACTGAGCTCCTCACCCTATCTCTAAGGGAGCGCCCAGCCACCCTGCGGAGGAAACTCATTTCGAGCGCTTGTATCCGCGATCTCGTCCTTTCGGTCACTACCCAGAGCTCATGACCATAGGTGAGAGTAGGAACGAAGACTGACCGGTAAATCGAGAGCTTCGCCTTTCGACTCAGCTCCCTCTTCACCACAACGGTCCGATACAGCGACCGCATCACTGCCGAAGCTGCACCGATCCGCCTGTCAATCTCACGTTCCGTCCTTCCCTCACTCGTGAACAAGACCCCGAGATACTTGAACTCCTCCACTTGAGGTAAAGACTCCCCACCCACCCGGAGAGGGCAAGCCACCTTTTTCCGGTCGAGAACCATGGCCTCGGACTTGGAAGAGCTGATCTTCATCCCAGCCGCTTCACACTCGGCTGCAAACCGCCCCAGTGCACACTGCAGGTCCTGGCTCGATGAAGCCAACAGAACAACATCGTCCGCGAACAGCAGAGATGAAATCCTGTGGTCCCCAAACCGGACCCCCTCCGGCCCCTGACTGCGCCTAGAAATTCTGTCCATAAATACAATAAACAGAACCGGTGACAAAGTGCAGCCCTGGCGGAGTCCAACATGCACCGGGAACAGGTCTGACTTACTGCCGGCAATGCGAACACAGCTCCTGCTCCGGTCATACAGGAACTGGACAGCCCTTAGCAAAGGGCCCCGGACCCCATACTCCCAGAGCACCCCCCACAGGACACCACGAGGGACACGGTCGAATGCCTTCTTCAAGTCCACAAAGCACATGTGGACTGGTTGGGCAAACTCCCATGAACCCTCGAGCACCCGATGGAGAGTGTAGAGCTGGTCCAGTGTTCCACGGCCAGGACGAAAACCACACTGCTCCTCCTGAATCTGAGGTTCGACTATCGGCCGGATTCTCCTCTCCAGTACCCTGGCATAGACCTTACCGGGAAGGCTGAGAAGTGTGATCTCCCTATAGTTGGAACACACCCTCCGGTCCCCCTTCTTATACAGAGGGACCACCACCCCGGTTTGCCAGTCCAGAGGTACTGTCCCCGACCGCCACGCGATGTTGAAGAGGCGTGTCAGCCAAGACAGCCCCACAACATCCAGAGACTTCAGGTACTCAGGACGGATCTCATCCAACCCCGGAGCCTTGCCACCAAGGAGCTTGCCAACCACCTCAGTGACTTCGGCCAGGGTGATGGATGAGTCCGCCTCCGAGTCCCCAGCCTCGGCCTCCTCCTCGGAGGACGTGACGGTGGGATTGAGGAGATCCTCAAAGTATTCCTTCCACCGCCGGACAACGTCCCCAGTCGAGGTCAGCAGCTCTCCCCCCGCACTGTAAACAGTGTTGGTGAAGAACTGCTTTCCCCTCCTGAGGCGCCGGACGGTTTGCCAGAATCTCTTTGAGGCCGTCCGATAGTCCTTCTCCATGGCCTCCCCGAACTCCTCCCAGCTCCGAGTTTTTGCCTCCGCGACCACACGGGCTGCAGCACGCTTGGCCCGCCGGTACCCGTCAGCTGCCTCAGGAGTCCCCCGAGCCAGCAAGGCCCGATAGGACTCCTTCTTCAGCTTGACAGCATCCCTTACTTCCGGTGTCCACCACCGGGTTCTGGGGTTGCCGCCGCGACAGGCACCACAGACCTTACGCCCACAGCTCCGAGCAGCCGCATTGACAATAGAGGCCGAGAATGAAGCCCACTCGGACTCCATATCTCCGGCCTCCCCCGGAATCCGGGAGAAGTCCTCCCGGAGGTGCGAGTTGAAAGTCCCTCTGACAGAGGGCTCCGCCAGACGTTCCCAACAGACCCTCACTACACGCTTGGGCCTGCCAGGTCTTTCCGGCTTCCTCCTCCGCCAGCGAACCCAACTCACAACCAGGTGGTGATCAGTTGACAGCTCAGTCCCTCTCTTCACCTGAGTGTCCAAGACACGCGGCCGGAGGTCAGATGACACGACGACAAAGTCGATCATCGACCTCCGGCCTAGGGTGTCCTGGTGCCACGTGCACTGATGGACACCCTTGTGCTCGAACATGGTGTTTGTTATGGACAAACTGTGACTAGCACAGAAGTCCAATAACAAAACACCACTCGGGTTCAGATCAGGGAGGCCGTTCCTCCCAATCACCCCTCTCCAAGTGTCACTGTCGTTGCCCACGTGGGCGTTGAAGTCCCCCAGGAGAACAACGGAGTCCCCGGTCGGTGCACTGTCTAGTACCCCTCCCAAGGACTCCAAGAAGGCCGGGTACTCAGCACTGCTGTTCGGCCCGTAGGCCGACACCACAGAGAGAGACCTGTCCCCGACCCGAAGGCGCAGGGACGCGACCCTCTCGTTCACCGGGGTGAACTCCAACACACAGTGGCTGAGCTGTGGGGCAATGAGCATGCCCACACCAGCCCGCCGCCGCTCCCCGCGGCCAACGCCAGAGAAATGGAGAGTCCAGCCCCTCTCAAGGAGTTGGATTCCAGAGCCCAAACTGTGCGTGGAGGTGAGGCCGACTATATCTAGTCGATAACGCTCAACCTCCCGCACAAGCTCAGGCTCCTTCCCCTCCAGCGAGGTGACATTCCATGTCCCCAGAGCTAGTCTCCATGTCCGGAGATCTGGTCGCCGAGGCCCCCGCCGTCGACTGCTGCCCAGATCTCTCTGCACCGGCCCCATATGGATCCTCCTGTGGGTGGTGGCCCACGTGAGGACGGCCCCACGTCGCTCCTTCGGGCTGAGCCCGGCCGAGCCCCGTGGGGGAAGGCTCGGCCACCAGGCGCTCGCTGGCGAGCACCCACCCCAGGCCTGGCTCCAGGGTGAGGCCCCGGTGACGCCAATCCGGGCGACGTAACTGGCCTCTGTGTTGCACTCATCATAAGGGGCTTCTGAACCGTTCTTCGTCTGACCCGTCCCCCCGGACCTGTTTGCCTTGGGTGACCCTACCAGGGGCATGAAGCCCCCGACAACATAGCTCCCGGGATCATTCGGGCACTCAAACCCCTCCACCACGATAAGGTGACGGTTCAAGGATTTATAGTGTACTATGTAATTTAAGTATGTTTTTCTTTTCTCAATTTCAGTGACATTAATATTGGTATGGCATTGTGTTTCAGTAGTGAGTTGTTAATAAGGATTGGGCAGGTAAACACTCAGCAAGGTTAGGGTGACCACCAAATTTTCAAAATTAAAAACTGGGACACATCCAGGTTGAGGTGGTTGTGATTGTTGGTATAAATAAAATTGAGAAAAGAGTGCGTAACATTGTCCATTCTCGACTCACTTGTGGGTCAGTATATCACCTGAGGGACTTATGGTCAAGCATGGTTTTCTGTATTTTAGCTAAACAAATGACAATATATTGGCATCTTCATTGCTAGCTGGTATCAGATTGGTCAAAAATAAGGACACCTGGGACATTTTTTGTATAAAACTGGGATAAATCAATAGTTTCTGATAAATCTGCTGAGACAGGGGACAGAGGGCTCAAAACTGGTACTGTCTGGGGTAAATAGGGGCATCTGGTCACCCTAGGCAAGGTATCCAGTCCAAGTACACAACAACAGGTCCAACCTGGCATTAACCCGACAACCTTGCTTTTGAACTATATTAAATACCAGTGTTACCTAATGTGTATTTTGGATGGCCCACTGTCCATAGATGGAAATGTCAACATTTAAATAAGTTAGTAGAGTAGCACACTTGGGGAAAAAAAGTCAAGTATAGCTTTATACTTCATTGATTGATTTTTAATATTCTTAAATACTTACTTTTTGTGTGCGTGAAATGATGCAAAAGTGAAACTCTTGCCGTGATACTCCCCAAAGAATTTACTCTCCTCCAGGCGGATGTGGTGCACCTCATTGGCCGAACAGCGGCGGTACGTGCGATGCCATTGGTCAGCTGTGGACACCCCACTCTCCCTAAAATCAGATGGATGGGTCATGGGGAGAACAAGCAACCTTTTTAGACATGACAGGCAAAGTTTCCAGTGTACAAATAGGATTTTTTGCCGTGATGTTGCCGAGGTAATCCTAAATCCATTCAAAGCTGTTAATCAATAGTGCGGGATGGACAGGAAGAGCAGGCGGCCCTGACCTACACAATAGATCCCAGAGAGCTAAGTGGACATCAGTTTTCTCCAGGGAATATGGCTTAAGACAAGGGAGGCTAAAGAGGTGATAACAGGAAGCCAGGTTGTGGGGGCAGTGTGAATGTGGGTGGCCTGTGACAGAGACAGTATTACATAAACAAGTGTTACAGCGAAAGTGCAAGGCTGGGGAGGAGGACGACAAATCCTCATCATGTATCTTTGTTCCAGCCAATAAACCAAATGGCACATGGGCTATACATAACCACTTATGAAAAGAGCTCTCAAAACTCTTAGAATATATTAGACTTGAGAATTATAGCCAGACAAGGCAGAAGTACTGTAGTTTTAGAGCAATATTACTGCTATCTATTTCATTTTTATTTGAAGGGGCACTACAGAACTTTTCTGGTGGTGGCTGATCTCCGTGGAGATGTTATTTCCTTGCCTAGAATGTTCCACAATAAGGTATTAAAGCTATTTATGCTTGTATTCAATTAATGTGCACTCTTAGTCTCCACAGATCCGACCTGTAACTTGGCCTGTTGGCATCACCTGCTTGCCTCCATGGAGACAGATATGTTTATTTTCAAACTGTGAAACTTTCCAGGCTAAGAAATGACATTGGTCCAATATTTCACTTATAATTTAAGAAACTGACATAATGCTATTTTGCACAACCTTAGCGGTGCTTCGTGTTCAGTTGAAAAATAATTTCTAAATGTTTGTTACATATTTATTTGCATTAAGATGTGGGAACAAGCCAATTCAAAGTACAGTTGCGTTTGCTATCTATGGCCATGAGTTTTGTATTGTTTTAGTTTGTTTCAGACTCAGAGGAAATATCACAATTGCACAGTGAATGAGTTTTATGACCAAAAGTGCCACAGTTACGACTTTAACAAAATGAGCCACTATAATTTTCATGTTCCTCTTTGTACAGACTCCACTGTACCTGTTGAGGGCCTGAAATGCTCCCACACGTGGCTTGAATCCTTCCTGGGGATTAGTTCTCAAAAAAAAAAAAAGCACAAAATTGCCGTGAGGAGTTAAAAAAAAGGCTGTATTTGAAATTCTAGACAGGAAGACGCACAACAAAAAAGAATATCACCAGTTAAAATGACTTGAAATGTGAATATTTCTCTTGATTTGAGTAGTGTTAATTTTTTATTAAGTTTTAATTTTGTAGTTTAATAGTATTTATTTTTGACTACTTTCATTGTATTCAATGTATTTATTTCCAATATATGCTTTTGATGTTGTTTGCTTATTTAAAGTAACATTATTTGACAGCAGAGTAAGAGAACCGCACTCAATAACAGGGCTCAACAATTTAGCAAATTTCAAACAACAGGTTTAACAGCATAACATTTGAAAGAAGATGCAAGAAACCCTACCTGAACATGCGTGTATAGTTCTAAATTACAGGGTTACAACCCCATGCACAGTATATTTTATTGTTTGAGCAGAAAAAATGAAATTTACATTTCTTTCATCTTAGTAATAAAAAATAAAATCTCCACGGACACAACAATATTGCATAAAAATGTTGAAAGCATTGAAAACAATAAAAAAAAATCTGGACAAAACAACACTAAAAATAGCTGATTATATTCAAGTCATATTAACTAACCAGATGATTCTTTTTTGCAGTGTTGTAGAATATTTGTCATATCTGTGGTGATGGAGTGCACTTACTGCCCCCTGGAGGAGTGGATGAGCAGCGTGATGAGGGTGGAGGTCCCTGGACACACACAGTTGAGAGCCAACATGGCGTACTTAAACTCCTCTTCACACACCACATGATCTGCACACACATGAGACACAAGAGGGACACTGTGACCGGGTCAAAATCTCCAACCAGACGCAAAAGAGTCGAGTCACTTCAGCTCTGGTCAAAAGTGGTGAGACTCTTTGGTCTGTGTGTCATTTATTTAAAATACACTATAATACTACCACTATCAAACTAACATTCTGTTAACAACATTGACTGTCCTGCCAGAATATTATTTTGTACAAGAAACAATGATTCAGCAATTTGCAAAAAGAACACATTATGACCAAAAATACACACACCCACAGACTACAATGCTCTTAGGTGACATTACATTACGTTCCTGTGGACTGATCCTAAGCTTAATCATAGTTATGACTTGCCTAACCTAAATCCTAATCTAAATTTATTTTAACCCATATCTAAACTTGTTTATATTAAGACATCTTTGTCATGGGGATCTGATTTTGTCCCCAAAAGGGTGGCAGGTCTCCTTGAGTATACCTACAGATGTTAGTCCTGTAAGGACTTTAAAAAAACCAAAAACCTTTTGAAATGAATGGGTTTGCTGACCTAAGCAGTATGTCGTTGTTAAGCAAAAAAGCAGTACCCCCATAGCTCCTTTGAAAATGCTGGTTTTCTTTGTGGTTATCTTTTGGAGGAGGAAAATTTCCATTTTTCCCCTTGACAGCTCTGTGGGTTCCATATCGAGTCAGGATGTCACATTATTAGACATTGTTAATTTGCTTTTAGCTAAAGAAAAAAAAAGCCCAGTCGTGTCTCTGAGCTCAGCTGCAGAGGACACTGTGTCAGACAATAATTTAATTAGACAGCTTTGTCCCAAAATCACCCTCTATTCTTCAAAAAGAGCTTTGTTACCTTGCTGTAGCTGGTTCTTCTGTTACTACAACTGTCACTACTACTACCACCACTACCACCGGCATTAACATTGCTACAACCACTACTGCTATTACTATAACTACTGATTCAGTAGTGTTACTGGTACCATTGTTATTCCTGCAGCCACTGCTATAATCTCTACTAATAATGCATTGGTCTTATATGGCACTTTTCCAGTCATTTTCCAGTCACTTTTCACAGAAACTGAAAACATCTTTATAGTTTCGCCTTATTCATTCAGTGATGTTAAGCTTCTATTGTGCCCTGGGGCAAACTGACAGAAGTGAGGCTGTCAATTTGCGCTATCAACTCCTCTGACCACCACCAACACTCACACACACACACACACACACACCACTTTCATACTTGGCAATGTGGGTGAAGTGTCTTGCCCTAAGAACACAGTGACAGTTTTTGCCACTGGCGCTCCACTGTGGCACCTGGAATTCCCAGAGCTCTCCCATCCAAATCTGACAAGATCAGGCTTGAAGGAGGTCTGGCCACCATTGCTATTATTGTAGTTTTTTTTTTTTTTATTGTGGTAGAACAATTGCTATTGACTAATGATTTTTTCCTTAGTGTAAAAATCAAGTTTGACTTAATATTACAGCAATATTATTAAACAATCATAATATTGATACTTTAATTAAGAACACTGGCTATGTTTACTTGATTGATTGATGTTTACTTAGAACTAATCATTGTTTGATTCCTGGAGTTATGTAATTTGAATAGTCTGATTTCTTTCTGACAAGGAACATTATGTAAAATTAATGTGGAAGAGACACACAAGAGAAAAAGCTAAAGATTAAAACTGTACTGTGTCTTCAAATATAAGTCACTCCAAAAATCCATGAAGTGACATATGTCATCAGGTGTTTTAGATGACCAGATTTCTTGTGTATATAAAGACACAGCAATAATCAGATCTAATTATTGGGTTGTCTGATTATTTTGGTTATCTGATTTTCACTGGCCTTGCAAATGTACTCATGTAATATTGTGATGTATTTGCTTTTGAACCCTATCTGTGTATCTGCTCCTCACCTGCTCACGTGTCCTGTCTTTAAAAGGAAAAGTCAATTGAGTGATTACATTTGAGGACATCTGTGTGGCAGACAGAATCAATTCCCAACGGTGTCATTCTCTAGTGTTGGCCTCGCAAGTCAATATAACATATAAACATATTATATTTGCTTTGTTGACTAAAGCCACAGCATGATGAAGGACTAATTGATTTGTTACATATTATATTTCAGCTTCATAACAAGTGACAAAAAAGACTACATTTGCAAGCATGAATCTTAAGGGAAATAACACAAAAAGATAAAAAAAACAACAAATAGTGGTAGTAGTTGTAGTAGTAATACATTTCCTTAGGGTTTAATAAAGTCTAGCAGTAGCAGTACTTTAATAGCAGTGGCATTCTGAAGAAAATTTATGCAGGGATATTAGTAACCTAATTTAAGAATTTTGATTAAAGGGGCATGTATGCATTTTTTTCCCAGTTGTTCAATAATCAGGATGTACTGCATGACAAGTAACAAAAATGACCAAAAGCATATGTAGTATGCACATATGAATGACTACATGTTTCCCCTCTCCCTTCTTAAGGGAAATAACCATAATGCAGTAGTAGTAGTAGTAGTAGTAGTAGTAATAGTAGTAATAGTAGTAGTAGTAGTAGTAGTAGTAGTAGTAGTAGTAGTAGTAGTAGTAGTAGTAGTAGTAGTAGTAGTAGTAGTAGTAGTAGTAGTAGTAGTAGTAGTAGTAGTAGTAGTAGTAGTAGTAGTAGTAGTATTCCTCAGGGAATAATACAGTCTATATTTATCTAGCAGTATACCAGCAGTAGTAATAGTTTATATGAGAGGTATTCTGAAGAAAATGTATGCATGGATATGAATGACTTTAAGAGTTAAAACTGACTAAATTAAAACTTAACAAAGGCCAGACCAGGTTATAAAAACTGGGTAAACAAATTTGGATAAAAGATTAATTTTAAATCGTTTTATTGTCTGACAGTGTGCATGCTAGGTGTTGTTACTTTTACAGTGAAAACTCCACTCTGATCTCTGAAAGTTTTAAAAGTGCTTATAAACTAATCTCTGTGAATAATAAGGTAAGTGGACCACTGCAAACTGTGAAAACTGAAAATGAACTAGTCTTGTTTTAAGACAGTAAGACTCCTTCATGTTTTTGTAACAACAACTTTTTGTTTATTGCTAAAAGCTTTTATTTCTTCCTAAATCAGCTCACTCATGATAAAACATATATAAATTCTTATCTCTGTAGATCACCTATCACTTGTTCCTGTTTTCGCAGTATGCAAAGACAATCTATGCTTCATCAGTATAGAATCCAGTCTGTTTTTCAATCCAATATCCAATTTAAAATGTCCCCTGCACACCTCTCCTTCACAATGTGCTTCCTTTGCTCCCTGCGGTACGAATCTATTTAGACTGCAACATGCCCTCCATTTTGGGGCCTCTATCATTCTGCTTTCCCCCAAAACATTCAAAAGCTATTACTGTTATTTCTGAAGCTTGTGCATGTAGATGTCAAACTGCAGTAGCTACAGATATTTTTTTTAGTTCTTTGCTGAATATAATGCTTACTCCAATAAATTTTGTACAATGTATAGTTCAGATATTCTTGGGTTTCAGATTAAATCATAACATTTTATAGATCAGTAATATTTAATACAGATGAGGCGACAGTTAAAATTCATATTGTGAAAATGCAGATGCAATTCTTTTATTTTAATATAGTGAATTGTGGGGTCTAACCACTAATAGAAATGATCAGGTCCAATATTCGTGAATTTGCTTTTTGGATTTTTCATGATAAAGTACAATGGTCCAAATCATCACATACTACAATCTAAAAACCACCAATATCACACTTGATTAGATCCAGAAATTGTGTCCTAAAATGTAGTAAGATGTATTTACTGTGGGTTTTTTCTGTGTTCATTCAACTATGAGCAATACAAGTCTGTGCTGACATTATTATCTAACCCACAATAACCTTTGGGACCAGTTAAAAGCTCTTCTTTTGGCTAGTTTTAATAGATATGTACCTTTTTCCCATTTATCAAGTACAAAACAATAGAAAAAATTGTATTTCAAAGTTTGTGTTTTCCACGATTCCTAAACTTTATTTCTTCCGGTTGACAAAAGACAACAATCAGCTTGGCCTGTAAACTTTATTACAGCTAAACAGTTTTGTTCAGATTCTGTCAGTTGGATAACACACACTTGGTTAATAGCACTAGGTTATGTAAGGTTAGACCACAAGATAAGAGAACCTTTATTTGTCCCACAATGGTGAAATTCAGATAAAAGTCTTCTTATCTGATCTTGTCTTGTGGTCTATTGTAACATGGAGGCCCAACAAAACTTGAGTGCTAAAGGTAATAGGTTAGGCTGTTAAACTGATGTTAATGTTTGCTTTTTGTTTATGTGGTAATTTGTGCATCCCCCCATCTTTCCTGTACTGAGCTGCACCGGCCAAATCTAATTAAATCAATTGCTTGTGTTTTTTTGGTTTTTTTTTTTTATGGTACGCTACAGTTAACGCCCAAAACAAAAATGGAGGAGATAATTAGCCGATAGCATGGCGTACATATCTGACTGGGCACGTCGAGGTTTCCAGCGGCGTGTAGCACCGGCACCACGCCGCATCTTTTCTAATGAGTGCAGAGCTGTTATTAAGCTATTCCTGTGGCTCAGATTAAATCTGGTCTAGGCTGTTCATTAATGCCTCCCACACTAGCACTTAGTGAGTGGATTCCGAGTGGTGTCAAAACATGGCATCTGCACTTACTGTACTACTCTGTCCTATTACTTTATCAAGTCAGACAGAGTCACTCTTACAGAGCACCGGCAAAATCAGTGTCTCTCAAACTTTGGTACAGGTATAGTTCTCTTAGAATGGGGTCCCTTCTATAAAATAAGGTCACTTCTGCAGAGTTGTCTTTTACAAGACTCATAGAATTAAATGTATAAACTATTTTTAAATGTTTGTAAATAATTAATATTAACTTGGGAGATTTTTAGAAACAAAATTCTTGCTAATATGAGTCTTATTTCTCTCTCTCTTTTACTTTTATGATGATTATTTATATTTTGATTAGTTTTTATTGTGATTTTAATGTATTTCTTATTCTGTAAAGCACTTTGAATTACTTTGTGTTTGAACTGCGCTATACAGATAAACTTGCCTTGCCTTGCCTAATTTATAAACCCATATTTTAAGGGAACTATGCCATTTTCACATATTGATTTAGCCTTTATTTGGGCCTTTGTGTGTACCATTTAGCCTAAATTTGTTTTAAAAATCTAAATTTTATTTTAAGTGGCTGTTAAAATCAGTTAGCTGAAAATCACTAATACAAACACTCAACAACTTAATTTTGCCTTCTATTTTAGCAAACCATAAGTGTACAAAAGTAAATTAAAACCAAAAATCCACTATCCATTCAAATATAATCTAGGGTCAAGTGACAGTGTCAGAAACCCACACAGAAAAACCTGGACGCAGTGAATAGACAACCCTGTTCACCCCTGCACTGAGTGGTAATTATGCTTCGGGAAAAGGACTCGAAATGAGGGCTGTGAATTTATCTATTTCAGCTGCAGGCCTGGGCTAATACAAAAGGGCTCATTCTGGCTGCTGTGTCTCGGTCTTTACACTGGAGGATTGCCGTGGGGAAAAGTGAGTGCCAGGTAAGAGCCAGTAGAAAACTTATCAAAGACAGCCAGGATTTGGTCACTAAGGTGTGAAGTCCAACGTTAATCATAGATAGAAACACCTGGGAAGCGTCCCTCCAGCTTGACTCAGCATTGACATCCTTTGAAAATAAATTATGTGTTTTTCTGGATTGAGGCGGTCTTAAGTTGTTCTCATACTTGAAGATGATTGACTGGTTTGATGCTGCTAAGAGGAAAAGCAAAAGCAGTGTAAAAATAAATAAGAAAGAGCAGGCAGAAATCCTTCATAAGGCTTAGAGGCAAGCTGAGCCAATCTGTTGGGCACTACCTCAGAGCTGGAAGGACAAAGCACCTCTGCTGTTGAGGGTAGAAGGGGACTTTAAATTAGCTGCAGCTACTGGTTCTAGATACAAGTGCTGGCTCTTTCAGTTGGATCAGAATTTTAGTATTAACTTCCAAATATCCAGAAGTGAAATAATAAAACTAGAAGCAAACAGAGCCACACAAAAAGCCTAACCAAAAGAAAAAACTAAATTGTAGAACTTCTGTGCAGAATCAGATGTTATTTCTAGTTTTAGTGCTTGGAGTCTGCAGTCTGCATTTAATTATAGTGTTATAGTGTGTAGAGTGTTTTATTTTCTGTGAAGCAGGAAGTGCTTAGCATGCTAATGTTTGTTGCCATGACATGGAAAAGTGAAAAGTGCTCATAAACCATCATGATAAATAATTAGGATGCTCTGAATACATAAGGTAAGTGCTACATAATTATAATCTGCAACACCCGTGGATCATAATTTGCACATTTTAAATCGCAATATTCATCTAAAATCACTTAATAAAAAGAACAAGTCCGCTGATGTTAAAAACTCACAGAGAGTCAGTAATTCCAAGGACAGCTGCAGATCATATCAGCGAGTAGCAGCAGATTTTTTTTTGGTCTTGTACCAAAATGACTATGTGACACTGCTGAATCTTACATCTATCACAAACTAAGAAAATTAAATTGGAAAACAAAGTATAGACTCAGTCATGCATGAATTATTCCATATATAACTTCGAGCGAGTAAATGAGAAGGGGAAACGACTGCAACATTAAAAACTCTGAAAAGTTGATTTTGCATAATAGGTCTGCTTTAAGACAATAAAAATCAGATACAGCACTTCTAAGTAAACAATTTGATGGTCAGGCCATTATGCGCAGTCCCACTGTGACGCCCCTGCCGTGTGAACACAGATAATCATCTTTAGTGCTCCTGTCTCTGTCTCGCTCACCGCAGCGGCCCACCTGCAAACTTGACGTGGAACTTGTTCTCCGGTTTGAGGATCTGCACATACAGGGGGCAGTTTGGAGCGAAGTCCTTCACCGCCCAGGCCCGCAGGATAGTCTGGTGATCCTGCAGCAACAAGAAGACAAGTATTCATACTTCACAGAGACATCACACTGGAGGGAGGGGTCTATATGTTACCATGGTGACACAATGCACACATTTGTAAACACAGTCAAAAAAGTTTTAAAATAGTCTAAAATTCACAAAAATAAATAAATAAATAAGATACAAAAGCACAAACATTTTCAAGAGCCTGTGATCAACACGAGCATTCATGGGCCTGTTTAGGTGTTAGATTTTCAATAAAAACTTGAGGGACTAACTGAAAAAATGTTGGATAATGCTAGCTTGTGACTGTAATGATATCTTAAGGGGACTTGCACAAATCAAATCATCTAATCAGTTCTTTTATGGCCAGACAGTGCAAAAATTAAATTCTAACTTGAGTAACAAAGCTTCAGACAGAGTAGTGCTTAAATTAACATCACACCCCTGGGGAATGCTGGTAACACGAGCTCCAAAGTATCAATAGGTGAAGAAGGTAAAAATGGAAGTAAAGAGAAAGGCAGAGAGAAAGAAAGAGCAAGTGGCTGTGAAAATGAAATAATAAAAATGAGAAGAGTAAGAGGGAAAGAAAAAGATAGAGAGGGAGAGAGAGGTAAAAAGAAAACAAAAAAAAATATGGAGAGCACAAGTGGGAAAAAGGAGAACAGAAAGGGGAATTGGAACTGAAAAGGAAAACTGTGAAAATGGGGGAGATTAAGAGAGCAAGAGAGGGAGGTAGAGAAAGAGAGGACAAATGATGAAGAGAGAGATGGACAAGACAGAGAGTGAAGGAGGGATACAGAAAGAGAACGCATGAGGAAGCAGAGATGAAAAATGAAACACACTGAAAATGGGGAGAGTAAGAGAGGAGAGAGAGCTAGAGAGAGAGAGTGATAAAGAAAGAGAAAATAGGTGCAACAAGCATACAGCAGTAAACCCTGGATAAGGCCTGAAGTCTAATAAACTGCTTTAGCTGCAGACAGTTCATACAATTGAACAATACTCTCAGCAATTTCTACAGAAGTACAACCCGGGCTGTGCTCCTCCAAACAGAGGTGCAGCTTGCTACTATTACAGTACATTGACAATTTGTATTTGTGCGGTTCCTCGAAGTGAATGAATGGGAAAGTGGGACATGCCTATTACGAGAGGTTATTCAAGATGGGACGAATTTTGGAGAAATGTTTAAACCAACATGTTGGACCAGTTGGCTGGTCTTTGTCAGGTCATAAGAATAAAACCGGGCACACAGGTGTCCTTATATACGTACAAGAAATGAATGAATGAGGATTTGGACTATTCTAGATTTCTTTAAATAATGTCATATCCTCCAGGTAAATTGTAATGGATATTTAAAAATGTGTGCATATGTGATGGACACACCTGTTGCTTTTCTGTGGGTCTGCCTAGTGCATGTACATTCCTTGGGTGTTTTGGTGTGACATCTATTGGCTCACCTTCTCTTTTTCCTGTGTTCCATGTGGCTAGTCGCATGATTTCTTGTATTTAGGGACACCTGTGTGCCCTGTTTTATTCTCATGCCCCAAGGAGGACAAGCCAGCTGGTCGAAGCGCGTTGGCGTCCTGCCTTATGTAATAAAGGACTTTTAATATAATCATCAGTGTGCCTCAGGTTTGTATCTTGTCCATTTTTAAATGATTAAGTAAGGGCCACATTCTTCTTAGATTTTAACCTAACCCTCTAAGAGCATCTATACTGAGATTTAAAAGATATTTTTATGACCTAGTTTCTACCTCTTGTCTTAATCAATTGCCAAATTTTGAAGGGTCAAGTGTTTTGGGCTAAACATACAGCCAGATGTACAGTAAACTTAAAGGTGGACTATGTAACTTTTCTTTACATTTAACATACCTGTCTTGCCTTTTTTTTTAAGTTCTAGTCTTTTTAGTGCTTCAAAAAACCTTGAAAAGCACACCATATTACTGAGAGCACTTGCCTATCCACTGATCTTACAGGTAATTTAGCATGGTGGTGCAACTTGCTTGTCTCCATGGAGATAGATGAGTTTAATGCCATACTGTTGATCAATCCAGGGAAAGCTATAACACCCCCATGGAGACAAGCAGGTGGTAGATCACATCGGAAAAGTTCATTGTGCGCTTTAAATGCTCTCCTTATTCTAACCACCTCTGAACCAGCCCTAACTAAAGTAAATGCATCTACATATTTGTGTTTATTGAATCATAGCATTTGCTAGTTGATATTTCTGTCCAATTAAAATAAATTGCGTGACTAAAAGATACTAATTAGATGAGGCTAATTATTTTTTGAAACCATCTTTTACACATTGCTCCTGTGAGGTATACCGCAACAAAATGTACTTGACAACACCAGTTTGTAAAATAGCAAAATGTTTTCATTATTAGCAAGCAGAAATGTCATTGTGAGAAATTAGCTGTTAGTAGTTAGTAGTAAAAATGAGAAAAATTAGTGAAGAACATACAGCAGCGATGCGATCCACTTCGAAGCGATTGCTGAGAATAAAGCAGGCCTCAGCATCGTCCATCCTTCAGCCATTTTCAAGAGTCCACAAGTGCAAGGATAGGAGGAAGAAGACCAAAAAGAGTGAGGGGAGTGAGAGAAAAACGAATAATGTTGTCATGTTATTTAATGTTAGGACAAAGGAGAAAAAAGACAAGACAATAGAGGCACAAATGAACCAATGTGTCTCTCAAGCCCACGCCATTTATGGATGAGATAGTAGGAGGCGAGGAGACAGGGAGATTAAATAAACAGGCTTTTCTTTTCTTGCGACAAAGACAGCCCAAGGTGCTGTATTATCAGAGGCCAGGGCTAAACAATAAGCAATATGTAATTACAGATGTTACAGAAAGCCTTGGAGGTGCACTAGATATTAAGTGTGAATGGCTGGGAGCATGCACACAGCAGAATAGAGTGGACAGACGGGGGCTTGCTTACTTTGCTCTCATGAGGTCCTGGTCCTTCAGAGCTGAGCCTTGAAGGTAAATAACTCTTTGGGCCCATAGAGGAACATGAAGCACTCTCCGAACCTGCACATCCATCTCAGCAGGACAAAGGATCACCACATAGTAATCCTACAAGAACAAAATACTATATTATTGAACTGACTATGGAAACTAGGCATGATCGGATTGTGGATTTATTTTTTATTTTTTGATTTGATATCCAGTTTTTGTCTCACTGCAGTGGCTGATAATTGCCATTTGCATATTTACATTATGTTAGGTTAACTTTTCACATTTGTAAAATATTAAATAAAGTTTGAATCTCCTCATTTCAGTTCTCTGCAGCAAGTGACTGGAACCACCAACAGATTTAAAAACTTAGTTCATTTTTACCACTGTCGACTTTTAAAAACTCCATCCAGAGTATTTTACAGGATAATTGCACATGTTTTTAACACTTTTATATCTTTAATCTGCAATTGTTTCACTGTTTTATGTCTCTATTCACTGTTTCATGTTATGGTTGATGTGTGAGTGTGTCTGTGTGTCTGTAGATCTGTAGAGAAGGCGTTCTCAATTGAGTTACTTGGTAAAATATTGAATAAATAAAAAAAACAAACAAACAACAAAAAAAAAAAACATTACTCTATTTTCTGATCTATGTTGTTTCCTGATCACTAATATGGAGTTGTGTTTCATTTCATTCACACACGTATAACACACAAACATTGCTTATTTAGGATCCATTCTTCTCTCAAACATGACGCCACATGGTAATACTGGAAGTGCTCCACTGTGTTTATAAACTCCATACACCTTCACTAGAATCATTTGGATAATTTCAGCCCTGGAATTGCCAATCTTTACTGAACTAAAGGTGAAACGTTGTTGAGTATTTTGAGCTTTGGAGATGTAGACAGACTAATACAGGATTACTCAGACATGAGTAAATGAACCAAAATACAACGCCAAGTATGTTTTGGATGTTACAACATTGTCTTAACAGGTCACAAGAGTCAATTATATGTAATATAGGACCTTTAACTTAATATTTATATGAAGTTAAAAAGAACAATTTACTGCATGATTTTGTAAACTATATGGGCAGCTATAATAAAATATTGGTGCCACATATTGATTACATTTTCAATACTGGATCAATATCACCAATAATATCAATATTGAAACTGATATATTTTCCATCCCTATTAGAAACCAGTGAGGCAGTGTTATATTATAGGGGGGACAAAGCTTTTTGACATTGAAATAAATTAATGTTCTCTATAAGAACGTTTTCCTAAATATATTTTTCAGTGATTTCTGGAGGCATTGGTGCCAATATTGGGATTTGAATCTGTGAGTAGATTTCTGTACATAGGGGAAAGTAAATTAAAATAAAACTCCATATCTGCATAAGTCAAGAAGTAGTATTCTAATTTTGTTGTAATTCAGTTAGTTAAAAAGCACCAATTAACACAGATACTTAAGTACCAATTTTGTTGCATAGTATTTTCTTTTCCTCATAGATTTGTGTGCTGCCTCCACTTTTGGCTCTTTGCAGTGCCAATTTTTTGTAGTGGTTTTCAACTTGAATAAAAGTGACAAGACCAAGTGTGAAAAATATTGTGTTTGGAGAGCCTCTAAGCAAGCAAAACAACCATTTATTCTGACTGTTGTGGAAATGGGGTTCACATCATATTATGCAACGATCTGGCCTAACCTAATGCTGGAACAATATTACACATTTATTTGCACACACGGGCAGACCCCCGGAGCGCAAACGCACGCATCTGCTCCAAATACAACAGCAGTGTGATTAAGGTTTTGTGCTGGATTAGCTCCAACCCCATTTTAACACTGCAAACCCAATCAGGACATTTCAGTCTCTTGTGTCATTTACTGGGAGATACCGAAGTATGGGAGAGTGAGCAAACAATAGGGCTGTGAGATTGTTTAATATTTCTTTGTTATTTAAAATTCAAGGTAATTTACATATGAGACTGAAATATGAACAGCAAAATCCTATACATTTCAGTTACTCTTTTTTGTAGAGGTCTGTTGTTGAATGGCTTCCAAATAATAGCCAACATGCTGACAATTCTAGATGTTTACCATGAATCACTCATGGACGAATCAGTGATTACATCGACGAGTTTTGCTTTTTCCCATTAAAATATTAGTATTGCCTATAATTGCAGCTTGTGCCGTGTGGTGTGCAACAAGCCAAATAGTGATTTAGTTTCATTTGTGATTCATTCTCATCCATCCAGCATGCAGTACTAAGCCATTTTGTGTAATATAAGGTCCTATATTACACAAAATTTACTCTTGTGAGCTTTAAGCCATGTTATATTGTTGCTCTGTCCTCAAAAACATACCCAGAGTTGTGTTTCATTGACACATTTTTGAGTAAAACTTTATTATTAGTCTATCTACATCTTTAAAGCTCAAAATGCTCTGCTTTTGTAATATGTAGTGGCAGTTTTCAAGTTAACAGCTCCTTTTACCTTCAGTTCAAGGCTGAAATTATCCAAATGATTCTACTGAAGGTGTATGAAGTTTAAAAGCCCAGAGGAGCACTTCCTGTATTACCACTTGATGACATCACAAGGTTAAGTCTTTTCCGTTTAAGAGAAGATAGAGCCTAAATATGCAGGATTTATGTGTTAAACATGTGTGAATGAAACAAAATACAACTCCAGGTATATATGTTTCTGAAGAGGGACTAACATTATTACATAGATCAGAACACAGTGTCACCCTTTAAATAAAATAACTTTGTATTTGTTCATCATTTTTGTGCACTTTAATAACTTTAATAATAAGAAGCTCTCTAATGAAGTCTGAGCTTTCCATGTTTGGCTGATTCTTTGCTGAAGACAAGTAAGTAAGTAATTAAGACTCAATAGATCTAATTTTATTCTTGTGCACTATAAAGAACTGATGTTTATTCTGGCTATTTTTTGTCCAATTATTTAGGATTTACTCTGCTATAATGAATCACTTTATCTCCAGAACAGTTGCTGTGATTATAATGATAGCCTATTTAATACGCAGTAAGCCAGCCAAAACAAATTTTCTTTTCTTTTTATGTGCAATGGATTAATAGACACCCTATGGAACAGATCATTTTCACCACCAATACAATAAGTCATTTGTCCCTCTTTATCCGAAAGAAGTAATACTGCTATAGATATAACAAATGAATACAACAATGCAAAATGTTCTCTAAAATCCCCCCAAATAACAGATTGCTTTTACTTGATCAGATTTAAAGGATCTGTGGCTAAATTATGAGGCATTTATTCTTAAACAGATTCCTGAAATTACTCTATAGCAATTCTTATTTTGGATGTAGAATGGATGCTTTAAAATACTTTCAAAATAATACTTTTACTTCAAAAAGTGAAGTAGAACTATTAGATGACATCTGATCTAATCGCTTATGTTGATTATTTATGTTTTGATTTGTTTTTATTGTGATTTTAATGTATTTCTTACTCTGTAAAGCATTTTGAATTACTTTGTGTACGAATTGTGCTATACAAATAAACTTGCCTTGCATTGCCTATGAAAGGAATATATAAATAATCTATTTTCATCTCTAAATTATTGAAAATATTTATGCAATGTATTTCTTTGGTAAAAACAAAATGTCAAAATTTTGCTTTTTGCATGTTGTTTTGAAAATTTCTCTCATGGAAGACAATAAAGGATTATCATCATCATCATCATCATCATCATCATCATCATTAAATAGACAAATAACAAATATCTCGTTAACATTTGCCTAAACCACATTCCCACTTTTGGATAATCCCAATTTTTCACTTTGCATTAAAACTACCTATTGGTAGTTTTCAGATCCTAGACTGTGATGACGTCCTACTCCAAGATGAGGGGCAAGGGTCTATTGATTACACTGTACTTTCTCATGAAATATATAAAAGGTAAATTCACAAATCTTGAACCTGATCATTGTTATCAGTGACTAGACCCTAGAAGTCACCATATTATAACAGAAACCTGCATTTTAACAGTATTCATTTTAGCTGCCCCCATCTGTATTAAATATTATTGATCAATACAGTGTTGTGTTGTCATCTGAAATACTCCTGTACACATTGAGGACAAACCTGGAGTCGAGGATGTGCAAAAAACTCATTGAGGAAGTCCATGAGGAGGTCGATTTTGAGGCAGCTCACACACAAGACCACGTGCTTCTCAGTCTGGGCCCGGTAGCGGCTGTAGTTTCCACCAGACTTCTGCCTCTCCATCCACAGAAAGGCCAGCTGTTCGAACTGAGAGCAGAGGACACATCACTCACTTTCAACAGATGGGCAAAATGGATTAAGTTGACTTGGCCGAGACACAGAGAAATATCAGGTTAGAGTGGGACAATGCTCCGTGCCGCGAGGTGTTTTGGTTTAATTAGCAGTGTGTTTTGGATAGATTACAAAGCCATACTGATGCTGCGGATTTAGTCAAGGGTGCTTGAAGATGCTTGACAACAAGAACAAACAAGATGATGTAGAAAACACTTGCCAAAGCCACTGACCGATAGAGACCTATATTTGCAGATAATCAGTGCTATCTGAATAAATGAGAGAATAGCTGTTATTTTCAGGGACATTTTTTGCTCATTTGATTGTGTTATTATATTTTATTCGGTGTATTTTTTATTTTTTTTTTATAGTTTTAATTACAATTTTTTCTTATTTGACAAGATGATGTAGAAAACACTTCGACTGATGGAGACCTATATTTGTAAATAATTTGAATAGGGAAAAGTTCAGTGGTTTCAGTGGTAAAGCTGCAGTGCACATGCAAGGCAAAATTATTAAAGTTATTACCTGTCAATAAAGTCCAATAGCCCAAAAAAGAAAAATAAATTAAGCTGATTTGTTAATTAATTAATTGTAGCAGCAGGAGTAATAAGACTAGTAATGGGTGATGCTGCGAGATGTTTTGATAAAAATTATTTTTAAAGAGCCAAATTGGAGAGACAAATTTGTTCAATACACATGTCATAAAAAACATAATAGCCACAGATTTGTTTTAAATGGCCCATATTAGGCTATTTCCTGATCTGTGTTTTAATGGTTCCTCATCACATCCCTGCATATTTAGGCTGAGTTCTTCTCTCAAACAGAAAACACTCTGCTCCACCTTGTGATGTCATGTGGTAATACAGGAAGTGCTCCACTGTGTTTTTAAACCCCACACTATGGAGTAAGAAAGTGTTCAGAAACTGCATATTTAGGAAATCCGTGCATACTTAGTTGTAGTTGAGCATAAACTAAATATTAGTAAATTCTCGAATGAGTCCAATCACGAAATGAAAATTTATGATTACACTTTCTTCAGTACAAATATGTGTTCACAAACGTGACTTTACTCTCAAAAATACGTCATCAATTCACAGACATTATTTATTGAGCAGCTGGAGATATCGGACTTTTGCACTGCATACGGATTGAACAAGGACTAAACCAGGACTCATCCCAGGACTGAACCAAACTGATCCCAGGACTTCTGCTCAATAAATAATGCCTGTGAAGTGATGACGTATTTTGACAGTAAAGTTGCAAAACTTGTATTTGTACTGAAGAAAGTGTAACTGTAATTTTCGTTTTGTGATTGTAATTCTTGATGTCGTAACATTTCAATTCGTATTCTGACAGATAAAATACAGAAAGTACATTATGTATGACTGAATTCATTGGAGGGGTTACAAGTATTTATTTTATGCTCAACTACAGCTAAATATGCACAGATTTCTATCCTATGCACACAAATATTTCTGAAAGCTTTCTTAATCCATCCCCATACACCTTCAGTAAAATAATTTGGATGATTTCAGCTCTGAAATTGCCAGTGTCTACTGAAATAAAGGTAAATGGTAGCTGCTGACTAACACTGCATGACATCACAAGGTGGAAGAGAGCATTTTGAGTTTTGGGAATGTAGACAGATAAAGGGTTACTCAAACATGTGTGAATGAAACAAAACGCAACTTCAGGTATGTTTTTGATGAATAACAGCATTCTAACATAACCAAAAGCTCATAGGAGTCAATTCTGCGTAATATGGGACCTTTAAGGAATTCAGTCTTTTTTTATGATAAAATGAAAAAGTGTTTTATTCAGAAGTTGTTTTTCTGTCTACAAAATCAGCAGTATATTTTGGTATGCTGCATAATCCCTGAATGGATGGCTCTTGGAATGCGTGCAGATAGTTGGGATCATTTGGTTCAAAACACAGGTAGAAAAAATGCAAACCCTGTCTAGAATAGCATCTACTGTTTATGTCCCAAGACCATAACCCTGACTTTCTGGTCCTGTTCCTGCTGAGATGATGTAACTGTGTCTCACTGTCTGTAAGCCATTTCAAACAATGCTCTGGTCTTTTAACTATCTCTACTTTCCCACATAACAGCAGAGATAGGAGCAAATGTTATAACTCCAGCCACAAAATGCCAGTAAAATGGAAAGTTCTGCAGTTTTTTCAACAAGAAAAAGAAGATTAGTGATAAGCATGCATTATAGGGTAATTAAAGGCCCATATTAGGTTATTTTTTAATCTATGTTATAATGTTGTTTCTTCATCAGACACATACCTGGAATTGTGTTTTGTTTCATTCTGCCATATTTAACACACAAACCCTGCATATTTAGGCTGAGTTCTTCTCTCAAATGGAAAACACTGTGTTACACCTTGTGATGTCATGTGGTAATACAGGAAGTGCTTCACTGTGTTTTAATCTCCATACACCTTCAATAGAATCATTTGGATCATTTCAGCCCTGAAATTGCCAAAAGCTACTGAACAAAAAGTAAAAGGTAGACAGACTAATAATAAAGGGTTACTCAAATATGTGTGGAAAAACAAAACAAAACACAACCCTAGATATGTTTTTGAGGAGGTAACCACATTATTTTTCTTCATTACAGCAAGGTAAAGCTAAGTTGAAATGGCTTGTGTTTTATGAGCTTATGAGTTAATAATGTTATTGTTGCGTAACATAATAATTATTCAGACTATTTTTATTCAATTCTATTTATGATTCTGCTCGACTAGAGCACGTCTTCATTGTTCCTTGAACTCTTTGCCAGCTATAATGAAGCTCTTTATCTCCAGTACAGTTGCTACGATTACATTGATAGTGGTTTACAATACGGAACAACCCAGCCAAAACAATTCCTACTGTTTTTTGTTTTGTTTTTGCCAATAGTAGATATGGTTGACATGTGATGCTTATATTTGTGGTTATAGAAATTGTGCTTGGCTTATTTTGAATTGAATGAGGGAGACAAGTGTTGAAATGATAAGAGAAGAGATAAAAGCTGAATCCTGATATGGTCTGTGTCTCCGCGGTGAACGGTCAGAGCAGGACTGAGTCGAGCAGATGAACGACCACACACATGGGGGGGGGGGTTTCAAAATGTCAAGGGGTATTTATGGATCAGAGATGGTACAGAGGCTGAGAGTGAGTGCCCTGGCAAGTCTATACCAACTATACAAAGATTACAAAGATATTGTTCTATAAAGATGCTACAATAATGAAAAGTGCTTCAAACATTATTTATTCACTCCACAGAAGCAGATTGATGGAAATGTGTGCCTGTCACACCACAGCAATCCTGAGTAATTATCATCATTCATAAGATATATTATTTTGATTTGAATTATTAATTGCTAAAGTAACAGTGCTGTAATTTCATGGCTCTAATGTGGCATTCATGCAGTACTTATGAACTCAGAAAAATGTTTTTTTCCAATTTGGAGAATGCGCATGAATGCTCACACAAGTCGGGAAAAACAAACCAGGAACTTGGTGCCAAAACCATCTGCATGACTTCCATCTCTGGCACCTGCTCTGGTGGAGATGAATGAAAATCATCTGATTTCTTAATTTATCATACACATTTGAGCTCTTCAACTAAAACTTATAATACAATACATTTACAGACTTTGTAAGCTGCTGCCCAGTATCATGAGACTCTATCATAAAAATAAAAGCACATGAATGAAAATAAGTTGAAACCATCTCATCTTGGAGTCCAGAGTTCCCGAGGACACATGAATGCAGCATAAACCCCACATTCTTGATAGGATCCTGTTTTGTAGATGAGCCTCCTGGTTCTGCACTACTATTGCACTACTATCGCCCACTGCTATTGAGAGGTTGGCAGGAGCACTGGTTCAAGAATGGGTCAAATGCAGAGGACAAATAACATCTACAAATACAATGGAGCCAAGATGGTGGGTAAGGCTCGCCCCAAGGCCATAATGATTGTTTGGGCTGAAGTAAGGAGGGTTAATGTCAACACTGAGGCTTGAAAGCATTAGACTGAATAGTCATGAGTTTTCCAATTGAAATGAATTGAATTCTAGTCCAGCCTTTTTGGTGCCTTAGATAAATGCTAATTAGTATTATAGGAAAGACAAAAAGCAACAATGGGCAACTTGCAGACATTTTTGTTTATGTCCTACAGGTGAGCCATTATTATAAACATTTTCATAACAAAAACAATCAAATAAATAACAAAATTCCATAAATAAATGAGGTGTGATCAAAAGGTCTTAAAAAGTGAAACTTCTCTTGCACCTTTGTATAATATTCCACTTTCTTCACTATTTGCTAACACTTGCTTATATCTAAAGAAAATGTGAGAACAAGTCAACGGCCAGTTTAGCACGTGTGGGATGTACTCCTACTTTAACTGAGGGACTGGCGATGGCGACACCATTTTAAAATAGCCAACAGAGACGTGAATTGTCGTCACACACAATTTGCACCAACACAGAGTCAAAAGCAATTATTTTTGAGCCTATTCTGAGAAAACAGGTGCAGAATAACCCCACAATACCTCTTGTTTTGTCAGATCGTTTGCAAGACGCACACAAGCAAGTATGACAAACAACTGTTGCTGTGCATTTATCAAGCAGCATCCCTGAACAAATAACACGTGACTATGTCCTTTTGTTAGCTCCCAATAGACAGCGCATCTGTGAGAGAAGATGACAGAGGAGAGATCTGGGGACTTGAGCGACAAAAGGAAGGAGTCAGAGGAAAGTGGTGCTGTAAATCTTAAAACGCAAACAGGGAAAAACAGGGAGATTTGATTTGAATAGAGAAGTTACATTTGAGATAGGCAGTTTAGAATATTTTATAGGCTCATTCAGTCACATTTAGAATTGACAGTTGTATACGCTCGTGGCAAAAACAGAAGTAACTGGTGATCGCAATAATTTGTTAGCTTGTTTAGAAGCATTTCACGTGTTTTTACCACATTAACTTTGACTTTACTTGACACTCTTAATGTGAAATAATAGAAAGACTCTGTTGATTGACATGGGGAAAAGTAGGTCAGGATAGCAAAACATCTACAATGTTAGCCAATTTGAATTCAGATTTCAGATCTTGCAAGCTACAATCAGACACATACAACCACTGCTTAAGTTATTATTTCAATATCGGCCACAACTATTATTTTGACAACTAGGGCCACACTGAAAATATTGATAGGGCAGTATCCCTGACTGACTTCTTGGCAATATGCATATTGATGTAGTATTGCACTAATACTGCAATCCTAATACTATTACTACAATATATTTGAATTTATCACTATATCCACACATGTAAAAGCAAACAGTTAAAGGGACAGTTCGGAATTTTGGACATAGGACCTCATTTCCTAGTTAGCCAGAGTGTTGGAGATGTGTGGAGACACTTTTTAAAATATTCCATCCAGTCCTTGTATTTTCAGAGGTCGCTGGTGCTAGGCTAGTGCATGTCAATGGCCATAGTTAGCCTGCCCCTAAAAACAGTCTTACCCACTCCAAAAAACACTCGAGGCATATCTATTATTACACCAGACTATCGATGTAAATGTCTGTGTTGATAGAATAATGTTTGAAATAAAACTAACCTTGCATCGCATGAATAGTCGCATATTGAGGGACTATATTCTCATATATCAGTCCGCCACTGCCAAGCTTTTTGTCAGGAAGTACAACTCGCTGCTGCTGATTAGACATAAATCCTTCAAATGCAAGGTTGCTTTTACTTCTACAATTATGCTATCGACACAGACATTCACATCGACAGTTTAGCATTATTATTATTTTGCTTCAGGTGCTTTGTGGAGTGGGTAAGTCTGTTTTTAGTGGCAGGTCAACTATGCCCATTGACTGGACTGGATGGAATATTTTTTAGAAAGTGTCTCCACAAGTCTCCAACACTCTGGCTCACTAGGAAATGAGGCCCTATGTCCAAAATTACAAACTGTCCCTTTAAGACATATTTAATCATTCATATTTTTTCCGATTTAATACACTATGCATATAAACCGTCATATTGTATTTCATATTAGCCTTTCTCAAATGAAACTGTAATGACATACTGTAAATGGCTCTGGTATAACAGTGACTACATCACTTCACCCTCTCGTTTGGGGTCTCACTTGGATAGGCAGAACAATGAGCGCCACAAAGATCATGATGACGACCAGGAGCTGTGAGGGCCAGATCTGGGGCGTGACGTCTCCGAAGCCCACCGTGGAAAACGTGACCACACAGAAGTACAAAGAGTCGAACAGCGTCAAGTTGTTCCCCGCTCGCTCCAGGTGTTGGATTCCACAAATACTGGAAAATAAAACAGAAGAGAAAGGGCTGTTCAGTGAAGAGGGCTTGACAAATGGAGAGGCTGTGTGTGTTGTAGCATGCAGGTGTCCATGGCTACACAATGTAAAACTAATGTATTGTATTGCAGTAATTCAGCCCAATTTGCCTATTGATTTTATGTTGATTTATATTGTAACATAGAGACTTCAAGGGCTTTATCACTAACACAGATGAGCAGGTTCAGCGTTTGCAGATTTTCCTTTTGGATATTACATTAAAAATAAATAAATAAACATATGAAAGCTACCAAAAAGATTGACCACTACTTTTTAGAGAAATTCAATTTCTGTGCTGTACTACAATTTATTCTTCGAGACCACCAATATTAGATAGTGTTTGTCAGAAATAAATATTTTTACCAACTAAAACCAAATACAGTGTTAACATAGAATGATAGTATTGAGCGCTTTACTTTCTTCCATCGAAAATGTAAAATTATTGAATTATAGTTTTTACATTTATACATTGCCTTATTCAACATTTTGTAGAGGACTTGACATTTAAATGCAAGTCTTTCATTGAGTAAGAGGCAGGCCTGTGCAAAGACATGAGTGTACTGTACATAAGCGTGCCATTTGTAGTGTGTATTATGGGGATCTGTGAAGGACTGATCAGGCAGGTAAATGTCAGCCTCAGTACATTCAAACAGCTTAATTCTTCCATGTGCAGGATCTCCTCAGTGGCTCCCATACACCGCATATCATCTCCACTGGTCTTGTACAATCACTAGTCAGCATTTGAGTGCACTAACCTATCTATCTTCTTCTCACTTTTACCAGTTGCTGGGTTTAAGATGGCATTTTAACTTTCTGAAGGCTTATAACCTGCATAGATAAGAGATATCCTAACAGAAAAGCTACTAAATTTATATAATGTTTGTGGGGACTGGAGCTGGAAAGTGACCATCTTAATCTTATGGTTTAATGTCATTTTACCTGTAAACGATACATTGCTCTATGAGTAAACACAGATTTCTTCATAAAGGAGACAATTTGCTGCTGGTGTCAGACACTGCTCTGTCTAAAGCTCAAGTTAGACTTTAATTTGAGTTTTATTTGAACACAATCTGACCAGAAAGGGATGTCTTGGTTGGAACTACAACAGGTAAGCTGATTTGTGCTAAACAAGTCTCTCACTCAAAATTACAGCCAATAGAGATACATGTAGAACACCCCCAGTGTGATGTCACTGCAATGTATCAATAAAGCTAATCCAGTGTTGTAGACATTCATTTGCATTGACAGTATGCCTGTAACAGTAATCAATAAATCAGTTAATCACACAATAACTTTTAATGAGCTTGATAACTTTTCCGGCCACGATAAATTCTATTTTCATGCTTGTTTGTTTTCCTCGTCTCTCTCTCTCTCTCTCTGTACCAAAGAGACTGAATGTCAAAAGGCTTCTGTCGCTCTCCACTCATTTCCTTAGTGCAATGACGCTTGAACGAACTTGTCAATTAGGCTAAGACTTAATAATCCATTTTATTTATTGTTTTGGTTATGTTTGGTTCAGCGATGGTTTATTCAAGTGCATTTTTTGTTAATAAGTCCTTGCTGTCAGCAAGACTACATTAGGCTGTTCTTATGTGAACAAGTCTATTTATCTATTTAGGCCTATTATTTTTGGTTGTCTTGCGGTTCCTGAGTTAAATGTTGTTTAGAAAGTAAAGTTTATTGATCTTTGAAAGGGTGTATTTGCATTTTTATTCCATTGTCATTATATTAGTTGAAATTGGTCTCAAAATGTCAATGTTATCGTTTATCGCAGTAATTTATTAGTCAATTAATTGTTCAGCAAAATCTGTTATCATTACAGGCCTAATTGACAGTGAGGGCATTGTGCTCATTTTGTTTGAGGTGCATAGGCCAAGTAATGACAGATGATCAATAAACCAAGTCTTTCACATTTTGACATTTTTGAGGTGAAGGCTCTGAAGCACTCTTTTCTCCATGGATGTGCTGTGGTTCTATCTGAAATTTCTCACAACATGATAAAAACAAAGCAACCTCCACAGAGACAAGAAGGTGATGCCACTAGACCAAAGTTTTTGGCAATAAGAACACCTGGAATTGAATAAATGAAAGTTTCTTTTATTATTTTACCGTACTATGTAACATTCAGACAAAGTCAAAATTTTCTTTAGACACGCAGGTGACAGATCCTCCTTCAGAAAACTTGAAAATTCAGACCTACCCTACAGCTCTTGTGATGTCATGTGATTAATGTTCCCATTTTATTCTATGTGCTGGATTCCCTGGATTATCAGTGGTTTTCACACATCCCCTCCAGTGCTCTGTGCAATCACTAGTTGTCATTTAGGAGTGCCATCCTGCCTTCACTGTTACCAATTACATGTTGGTGTCTCTTTCCTCTCAGCTCCAGAACAATTGTTACTGTGCTCTCTTATTATTTCCCACCTGTATCTCGCAGCGGAACAGTGAAAACCTATTTCCTGGTGTCCAGATGGAATCCCTCCTCGAGATTCCCACAGTGCCATTGTGTGGTATACTCACCATGTAAACATAAGGCAGACCAGGGTGCTGATGAGGATCACCACCTGATTAAACATGGCTGAGTGGGTGCGCTGAATCGCTCTGTGGAGGTCGTTCTGCAAATATAATAACAACATGAAAATTGTGCTCTGTGCTTAATGCATAATAGGCTAATTCAGTGATAAAATACTTGCTTCTATCTAATCCAACAGTGATAATGTAGAATATAATGTATTTCTATCATTATGTATCACATTATAATATATTGTATGTTAAAGGTCCAACATTAGCCATGATACATGCGGTTACCTCCTCCACAACATACCCTGAGTTGTGTTTTGTTTCCTTCACATGTTTGCATAATCTTTTATTATTAGGCTGTCTACATCTCCAAAGCTCAAAATACTCTGTTCCACCTTATTATGCAATGTAGTGGGAGTTTTCAATTTAATAACATCCTTTTACCTCATTCATAGTTCATTAGTGATGGACAATTCCAGGGCTGAAATGATCCAAATTATTCTAGTGAAGGTGTATACAGTCTAAACTCACAGTGGAGCACTTCTTGGATTACCACATGACATCACAAAGTGGAAGCGTTTTCTGCTTGAGGGAAGAACTCAGTCTAACTAACAAATAACAAAAACAACTCCAGGTATGTTGGCGATGAGGAAACAACACTATAACATAGATCAGTAAACCGCATAACATGGGCCCTTTAATAATAATTTTTAAGGAAAAACATGTTCTCAAAATGTATGAGGCAATATTTTTGAATCAATTAAAATGTATTAATAAATGATTAAGTAATTATTAACAGAATTCAGTTTTCTTTTGCTATGGAACCAACCTGAACAACAGAGGGATTACACAGACAAGTACTTGTTTTCGTAATTTACAGATTACAAAATTATGAACAGCATACATATCAGCATATTTCTTTTGATATGGATTATACCTAGACGATTGAGGTATTACACAATCATAATTATGAAACACATTTGTTCTTCTTTAAATGAGCCTTAGTTTCCCAATCCTAAATTGTGATAGACGCACTATAGTCATAAAAATAAAAATATACTTTCAATTTCAATGCTAAAATAACTGAAATATGTTATTCATTCTTTTGTGAATCATCATTCAAGATTTGATCTTAATTTCTCTCTTTCTTTCTATTTCTTTATGATTTACACAATGTCCTGAAATTATGGATGCACATAGAAAAGTCTCAATAATAAGATGAAACCCAAATTAAACCACAGGCAGCTGTTATAAGAATCCTCCAGACAGTGACAGCACACACTTTGAGCATAAATGTTTTGTGACTGAATTACCTCAGAGCACAGCGTTACATAAAACTGCAGTATTGAAACAGCTGAGAAGAAATTGGCAATCTCATACCAACAAAACAACATGGCAGGGATGCTGAGATGGAAATAATGAGAAAATTGGATATAGGGGACGGCACTGTACTTACTATCATGTTCTCCAGAGCATGTTTGGCCAGCCAGCAATTGAGGAAAACTGGGATGAAGAGATTTCTGAAGGAGGGCAAAATCACCTGTCAAGAAGAAAAAGATTTTATTTTATTTTTTCAAATGTTGTTTACATTCTGAAGATCCATCAAAGGAAACTGTCAGAATATTCAAATCCAGGTAAAGTATCCAAAAATATACACAAGTTAGATAACTTTAGAATATAGTGTGATCCATAAAAACAAACTTAGTTACTTTCAAAAAAATTGCCACAAAAATGTCTTTTACAAGCTTACAGTTGGAAGAATAACTATAACTTTTACAAAAGTAAGATTACTGTCACTTAATGACATTAAGGTTTGAGTTTATTTATCTAACTTTAATTAAAGATACTCTTACTACTATTATTATGCAGTATTTGTGGTAGAGTCCCCAACCTGCTTGACTCCAATAAGGATGTCATTCTTGCAGAATGTACCAAAGTATAGCATTAATCTTATCTTTCACCATGGAGAGAAGAAGGTGAGTTACAGGTAAGATCTGTGGAGAGGCAAGTCCTCAAAAATAACGTAATAATGTATTTGAATAGCAATAACATACCCTCCATCAGAAAAGTTACATAGTGCATCTTTAACATGGATGCTCCACTCACAGTGATCATGAAGGGAACGGCGCTGATCATCTCCAGAATGAACGGGACACGCAAGACCTGCTCCCAGACGTTGCCCTGGAAACATGTCAGAACACAGTGAGGTCAGGAAACGCCATTGTCATGACGACCTCCGGGATTACCACATTACCCCCACCTGAACAAATCTTTGAACGCAGCATCATCATCAAAGATAATGGCTCCTAATGGCACCCACAAGTTTAAAAACATCAGGATATTTTGAATCTTCAATATAAGTTAAAACAGTAGTTCCCAAACATGTTATAGTCATCTACTGTATACTTTGAGACTTTTGATCAGTCACACACCCATTACGGACTTTGAATAAAATATATGTACACTGCACACGCACAAAATAATTCTGATTATGAAAATTGAGGATGATGATTCACACCTAAAATATTTAGACTGGCTTGGGAGAATCACATGATCATCATAATAAAAAGAATTGTATCAAATAAAGCCAATGTAGCAATTTTCCTTTTTCCTTTCTTTTCTTTTTAACTCTTTGCATCGTAGATCACAGCTGGGCAACCACTGAGTTAATGGGTTATGGATCCTTGAAATTGAAAATGACAAAATTTCAGATGGAAAGCAGGTTTTTGAATTACCCAAATCTTTTCAGGTAGAGGTTCTGTCACCTGGTTGTCTCCCAATGGAAATGTTATTGCCTTAGTCCAAAGAGGTTCGTTTGGTCTTCCGATAATTTATGTTATTAGGTTCTTTTTTCAGACCAAGAGTTTGCTCAGTAGCGGTCTTCCACACAGTGGTCACGTGATGTTCCTGTGACATGTCTGGTCAGCTGATTTATACAGATTTTGGCACTGTCTTCCTATCAGTGGAGGCAGGATGACAGCGCCATCTGCAGTCTGACTTCTTCAGGACAGTATCCCAGGTGTGTGAGAGTAAAAAACCCCCCCTCATTCCCGTTTATAGTCCTGTGGGCACGTTTCCGTATTTCGATTGCCTCTTTAATCTAGCGACGTTAAGCAATGTTCAGTTGTGTAAGAGCAAAGGCGTGCACACAAGCAACAAAACACAAAGCAGAACAGGAACAATTCAAATCGGCCATTTCTGACCATTATAAGAAAAAGAGAGAACCACATTATGGACTGGCCTGGAGCAAACAACATTCGGACCGAGGACAACAAAGATTGTCACTGGATTAAAAAGGCAATCAAAATACAAAAAGGTGCCCATGGGACTATAAACCAGGATGAGGGGGCTTTTTTACTCTCACCTATTCTGAGGAAGTCGGACTGCAGATGGCGCTGTCATCCTGCCTCCTCTGGTAGGAAAACAGCGCCAAAACCTGTATAAATCAGCTGACCGAACACGTCACAGCAACATCACATGACTCTGAGGAACACCGCTAGTGAGCAGCAAAACTGTCAGGTATGAAAACAAACTCTTGGTCTGAACTAAGATCCTAATAACATATGTTATTGTCTTGCTCGGAATATTCCACAGTCGCATTATACAATATCCATGAAAGCAAAGAAGTGACACAACAAGGCAAAGTTACAGGTCAGATCTGTGGACTGCACTTACAGTAAGAATGTTTGAGCCATAACAACACCTTTAATTTAATATATGCAAGATATATGAGTGTAATGCCTTAATTTGGAGCATTTCAGGCAAAGCAACAGCAAGCAAGTGACGAACCCTCAGACCCCCAGAAAAGTTTCACAGTGGACCTTGAATAATTCACGCTATTGTTGTCTATCATCTTTTCAGATTGTAATTGCTGCCATTTTCCTGGAAACATATTGGAAAACACAGCGAGGTCAGGGGAACTCCATTGTCATGATGACCTTAGGGGATTACCACATCACCAGAACGATTGGCGACTACAGCAGGAGAATCGACCGCATTTGTGCTCCGAGAACAGGCAATAAAGGACATGTGTTATACAACCCTCCAGGCCCTTTGTGGCATTACTCAGCTTCCACTTTCAGCCCAATTAAGATGTCAGCCATTTGCTTCTTTATGTGTCTGCTGCTTGCTTTTTATGCTGTTGACCTGAATGTGGCCATGGTGTGGGTGGACAGGCGCGGGGCTGTCCACAGGAATCAGTGGGCTCTAAATGCTATGGCTGTGGCTAGCCTCCGGACTAATCTGCAGCCTGAGCCCTTCATAGGCTTACAGTGTCAAGTACATCAAAAGCAGAGCAGTCATAGAGATAGATGGGCTGCCTGCTGGATCAACAACAGGGGCCTCGCCATGACTCTGACTGATCGGCACTGGTAACCGAGGGGGGTTAAGACAGCCCCGGGACAGGCTCAGGAGCTCTCCAAATGAAAGAGTACAGCAGAGCAATGTCACAGCTACATGAATGGAAGATGACTGCTAGACTGTAATACCTGTCTCACTGGGAAAAAAGCTGTCACAGTAACACAATTTGAAGTGTGATATAGTGCTTCAGAAAAATATCTTGAAAAACAATAATATTTAAACTAATTCATGCAATTGGCACATGGAGAGTGGAGTCTTGAAACTTGTAGAGATTAGTGGGGATCTTTAAATAAACTAATATGAAAATAAACAAATAAATGATGAATCTAAAGCAAGATAATCCGAGTAAACCCTTTTGACGTACAGTATTGAAAAAACAAGTTTCAATAAATATATAAAACACAAATACGACTAACATTACTTATTTGACTCTCTACAACTCAAATCTTATTATTTTGCTAAAACCAGGAAAAGTGCAAAGAAATTCACACATGATAATTATAAACTGAAGGCCCTATATTACTCAAAATTGTCTCTTGTTAGCTGTAAGCCATGTTAGAATGCTATAGCTTCCTTAAAAACACACCTGGAGCTGTGTTTTGTTTCAGTCACACACGATGGAGTGATCCTTTGTTATTAGTCTGTCTACATCTCCCAAGCTCAAACTGTTCTGTTCCACCTTGTGAAGTGAAGTGGTAGTTTTCAAGTTAACAGCTACCTTCCCCCTTTAGTTCAGTTGAGACTGGCAATTCCAGATCTGAAAATGTTCAACTGGAGTTTAAAAACACAGTGGAGCACTTTCTATATTACCTTTCAGTTTTCCGTTTCAGAGAAAAGCACACTTTAAATATGCAGGGTTTATGTGTTGAACTTGTGTAAATGAAACAAAACACAACTCAAGGTCAAGGTAAGTTATAATAGAGGTCAAAGAAATATAAAATAAGGTCAGATAAGTGAATATAATGATTAACATGAGTAATTATTGAATGACCGACATATGCATAATATTCACATAAGTAACACTTACAGCACAATTGACAACATTGAACAATGGTACAAGCAAAGGTGTATTAAGGTGACACAGTGGGATGGAAGCCAACATCAATGTATAAATAGGACAAAGTCTGTGAAGTGTTTGATATTCTGTGTGAAAATGTAGTATTATCTGCAAGCTGAGAGTACAGTACGCACAATAGATAAGAGCGGGTTAGTGTTAAGTGAAATAATTTTTTTAAAAATTTGTACATTTTTGAAGATTTTTCAAATCTACAAAATGTACAACAATTATTTTCTATAGATCTTGAGTCAGGATGTATAAATAACCTTCTTTGCATATCTGTCAAAATGAGACTTGAGAGGAAAAGCTACATAAAAAGGCCCAGTGATCTCTTGTTAAAGTAAACGAATGTAATTAATGAGCAGAAATTATAGTTTATAGATTGTACATGTTGTCTGTGCTTTTTTGCATTTATAGTCAGTGAATCTCTGTTTTTCCTTGCAGGGCTATAAAAGTGACATAGCAACAGCAGGATTATCTGAATGCTCTTTATAATGCACTCATTTGGTTACAGTGCATGGGAACAATTATGAACACAAAGACATAAAAATAAACCTTAACTTACCTTATAACTTAGATATACAAGCAACATTGTCTCTGAGAAGCTGATAAAAGCCACGAGAACCTGCATGAACAAGCATAGACACAGTAAAAGTCATATAGAGGAACCTAGAGACCTGCACAGACAGAAATTAGGAGTCTTCTACACAAAGAAGACAGGAGCGTGGGCGAGAACAGTGGGAGTGCGATGATTGAGCTACACAGGGAACGGCTGAAAGTGAATCCAGGGACGATCCATGAGAGGGGCTGTGTATTTGTGTATGTATGGAGTCATCACTATGTAAAGGCCCAGTGCAAACAGAGCTATGTTGAAATAGGGGGCCACACATACATTCAATTATTTGTATTGGAGCGAATGGATATGCCATTGTAAATAGGCACACATGGTTTATTCTGGACTTGTGATCTGTTACCTGCAAGGCCCAGAGTGGCAGAGGTCGATCCACCCAGATGATTAGTTTCCTGCAACACAATAAAGTACATGTTAAAATCATAAAGTGTATATATAAATGAACACAACGAACCCACTAGCCACTGCGTTCCAAATAAGAAGTCAGCATTAACGCGCTTCTGGCTCCATCGACTGGCTCTAATTCACTTTATATTGAAAAAACCTCATCCCTCTCTTTAACTGCTGTTGTCAGGTCTTAAAATATTCATATTAACCCGCTCTATATGATCCTGGTGTTTTTATTTTGCTATTTTGTCTGTAAATCAAGATATGAACATTAATAACAGGTTAAATCAGGAAGGTCGCTCATGCTAGCATTAGCAAGTTTGACAACACCATTGCTAAATGCTAAACCCGCTGTCCGGGGGCGTTACCTTAAACAGCTTTGCTCCTGATTTGATCTTTGGATATTATGATATTTGTGATCCGACCTCAAACATTTGAACTCAGCTTCAAATTTGCCCCTATAACCACTAGCCTCGACGAGCTTCATTCAGGGTTCCCACTCTTTTTCACTGGCAAAATTTCAAAACTTTTGCATGACTTTTTCATGACCTAAAGTGAATTTTCCATGACTTTACAGCACCCTACATGTGGAAAATTCAGCATACTTTTAGACTAAATATAAAATGTTAACCCTGTCCACTCACCTTATGGTTTGGTATTATAGTTTTGTTTTTAACATGTAGCTGCGTGAAAGAGATTCCATGACTTTTTCAAAACTTTCATTGAATTTTCAAAATTCCATGACTTCTCCAGGCCTGGAAAATGACATTTTCAATTTCCATGACTTTTCCAGGATTTCCATGACCACTGGAAGCCTGTTCATTTGACTAGAGCCGAACACTAAGGGTGAGGTAATAGTCCCTTAGTTCTCTTTTATTATACAATATGATTACATTTTATACAGTAATAAGAATCATATATAGTGCTGTTCCTGTTCCTGTTACCATTTAGTGCAATATTCATTCACTCTTTACTAGGTGGTGGTAAATTACTATTGTAGCCACAGCTGCCTTGGGATAAACAGAAATGAGGTGGCAAATCTGCACCATTGTCCCCTCTGACCACCATCAAAATGCACTCACCACATTCGTACTTGGCAATGTATGAATGTCTCGCCTGAGGACACAACAACTGTTTTTGCCACTGGCGTCCCACTGTGCCCGCTGCTATTGAGTAATGCAACCATTTTTTAAAGCTATTCTGACCTTGTTTTTTTGTTTGTTTGTTTGTTTTTTTTTTGTTTCATGTGGATGGGTCCAGTCATTTCAAAGATATCTACCACAAACCAGTACAAAGATCTACCTTTAATTTTATTCAACAGTACATTTTCTAGTGGAGAGTCCATTACCTGCATGTTTCTATGGATATGTCATTGCCTGCCTGGACCTGGTATGACATTAAACATATCTACCTTACACTGATTTAATTTCAGGTGATTTTATAGCTCACAAATACGGAGAAAAACAGACTGTGAGCGGGGTTGCCTCTCCACAGATCTGACTTGTAACTTGGTCTGGTTTAGTCTCCATAAAGATAGAAAGATTTAATACCATATTGTGAAAGATTCCACACAAAGCAATAACATTTCCATGGAGAAGAGCATTTGAGCCTATTAAGCTTTTCCCAAAACCCGTAGGGAGAAGGGCAATAACGTCTTTCCCCTTGATAAAATTCACCAAACTATTTGTTTCGGCTTTAAATCCTCGAACTCGGGAATCGTTGCCAACACAGAATGTACGGCTCTTTGCTGATTGACTGGTGCCCAAACTCGCACTTCCGGGGTTTTTGTGAACTGCCTAGTGTATTCTGATTCCTTACATAGTCGCTGACGAGAAATGAAATTGAGCAGAGGCACTAGGTGGTGCCAGCCTGGATAATTTGATGGACTCTCCACCAGAAAAGTTACACAATGCACCTTTAAATGCCAAATTCTTCCATATTATTTGGACCTGCCCTCCAGCTTCATTTAAACTATTGGGAGTTTAATTTTGTGATGTAATGTGAACGCAATCTGTTGCAATTATTCTGACCAATACTGGGATCAGATTTTCAAGTCATGTTTTAAAATTAAGATTCAGTCCACAGTGCATCTTCTTAAAATGTCTGGGAGCATAAAATCTAATTCTTAATTACTAAAGGAAAACAAAAATAACCTGGTGATTTACTTATTACAGCGGCTTAAATTGTGATTTCAGTCCAAATTAATATTCAAATTACAGATCACACGGCAAACTTGGTGATCAATTCTTATTCAAATTAAGTCAGTGTTTCTTTCTTGTCTTTGCTTAGAACTGGATGTGTGTAATTTAACATTAAGTCATTGACCATAACATAACAGACATAATGCATTTGCAGGCTTATAGTTAAGATAAATTAGATAAATGTCTCTTTACATAAAATACACTAGAGATTTACAATTACTGCTGAAGGAGGTCCATTTCTTCCCTGTGGTAGCATTGTCAGGCTTCTTACTCATTTTTACTCATTCACCAGTGTCACCCGCAACAATCAGATCAATACGTCCCTGAGGTATATGCTGTATACATTAGCTCCTGGTTCATGTCTATTTCCTGGATTTTTGCCAACCTCTGTCTACTATCCCCTGTCGAATATTACAAGCTTAAATCCACTAGATATTGTCTCCCCTTGATATATAATCGATGATTTCCCAATGGTGACAGAAATGCACATGGATACATAGAGCTGGATATCAACATCTCAAATTGAATAAGTAAAGTTTTATTGATCGCATTGTATGTGGATTCCATTCAGTGTGTGGGTTGGTTAGTTATATTCAGTGGTGGAATTTTTTGAAGTAAACGTAGTAATGTACTGTACTGTAGGCTGTCTGTACTTACTTAAGAAAATCTACATATGAGAGCAGGTATCTGTACTTTCCAGGGGTGTAGCATTTGGCAGTGCACTGGGGCCCACGGCACTTTGAGGGCCATTACGGACCCCCCCAGCCCTCCCTCAGAATTTCTAAGACCTCAAAATCTTTGCGAAATAATTCGTACTATTATAACTACTAAAGTAGTTTTTGTCATGTGATCCATTTACTTTTACTTGAGTATTTCTTTGATCTAGTATCTGTACTTTTACTTAAGTTGCTTCTTCCAACACTGTCTATTTTTCCTAAATCCTAATTAAAGTCTTACCAGTCAAACTCATTCCAGCGCTGAAAGGACGCGTTCACTTTGGTACAGTTGACTCCGCTCACGCTGCAGGGGTCAAACCACAAAAAGTGCAATTAAAGTTGTTTTTTCCCTGCTATATCTTTCTACTCCTAAATGAAACACACAAATAAACCTAAGAAGATCCAGACTGACCTTACCACATCAGATCGTTGCAGTGTACACAGTTGTTAGTTAACCTATGCTGCGAGCACACAGTTGTTAGCAGTTTCAATATGGCATTGTTTTCTTACCATTCTTGTCTGGCTTCTCCTGGGTTATCCAACAGCACTCTGACGATGTAGAGGAGGCAGCTTAGCACTTTCAAAGAAAAATTGAACATTCGCACACGGAGACCTGCCAAGAACAAAACAAATCAACTAGGATTAAAATAGGTAAGAGCTGATGTTGTCACACAAAAGCCTGCATTCTAAGGCTGGGTTATAGTAGACTGCAACTGATCAGTGCAACCAGGACTAATATATGAAGATAAGAGGGTTCAAAAAGAGTTAGCCTTATCTGTTTAGTGCAGGCTATTCTTTATTTCTCAATTTATAAATCTTACAAAAGATTAAGAAAAGATGATTTGTACCAGATTTAGCTACTGCTACTTTCCATCTGCAGTCCCTGGGTGGTGAACACACATCACTTTTTTTTAATGATGGGACTTTTTGCCTCTTTTATGGTATATCCAAATATGTTCATCGAATGGTTCATTTCAAAGAGCTGTTCAAAAGACATATTTATGTATATTACAGCCAATACAAGAACTAATTTTATCTATAATCGCAGCGAGAAATGACCGAGGCTAAGATTTGTTTAAAATTATTCAAACTGAGAGTGGGAGTCTGTTTATCCTTTGAAATGAGCAAAATCTAAATAAAATGCTGCACTACACTAATAATAATAATAAAAACTTATTACGATGCCAAATATATATATATATATATATATATATACATATTTATATATATTGTGCACAAAGCTCTCACTCGTGTTGCCTATTCTGCTTCTGTGCTGATTTTTGTGTTGGTTCAGTGTTAATCAGTATAAAAATGCATACAAATTAGAAAGAAAAAGATTTTAGAAGGTTCTTTTAAAACATTTGATGCAGTTTGAACCTTTCAAAAGAGCTGTTCATTAATTTCACATCACTATTTTCTTCACTTACCATGCTGATGGGGCTAGGGCTGGGTTAGGTAAACCGCTGCTGCCTGCCAATGTTTGAGCTAAGTTTAACTATGCTATTCATTCAGACATACTTAATAATGTATCTTTTTAGCCAAATTGGTTCTAACACGGTTCAGCCTAACACAAACAGTGGTAAAAACAGAATCAATCAGTCGAATAATAAATCTTGATTAATATAATGTAATGTAATGTCATGTTATCTGTTCAACCCTGGGTCTCTTTGATGGAAAAAGTATAGGCATAGGAATAGGAAACAATAAATAAATAGGTCTCGTTTCAATCAAAATCACTTTACAAGGTTAAAAATGTAACCGTAAAACAACTGCAATGTTTTATAAAGAAGAAAGAAAAAAAAGAACAGTTCTCCAGTCATTGTTCTATGATAATTTGAATGGTCAATTGAATGTTTTTTAATAAGTTTGACTGGGATTCAGATTGTTGCCTTTGTCAACTCTAAAAATTAAGCTTAATGAATCCTGACAAGAAGAAAATAAGACTTTCAATTAATGGTTATTCAGTTGTTTGTTTAATTTCTCAGCCTTCGTGTTTATGTAAAAAGCATTTAACTGGTCCCAAAGGGTATTGTGGGAGTTCGCCTGTCATCACAGACTACTGCTTTTACACATAGGCTACTGTAGTTATAGGCCTACTAATAAACACTGTTCTTTTTGGGGCTGTGGTTTACTGATTACGTCTAAACCTGACAGGACAAAAGTCAGCACACAGTATGGGACTAATTGGGTTAAATTTAAAGGGCCCATATTATGCCATTTTGTGATCAATGTTATAATGTCGTCTCGCATTTTGTTACATTGCTTAACACAAACCCTGCATATTTATTCTCTCAAAAAGAAAAGCAGAAAGCGTACAGTGTGTTTTTAAACTCTAATACCCTAGACACCTTCCCCAGAATCATTTTGGAGGATTTCAGCCAATTCAAGCCAAAATCAGAATTGCCAATCTCTCCTGAACAAAAGGTAAAAGGTAGCTGTTAATATGAAAACTACTGCTTAATTACATCACAAGGTAGAACAGTGCATTCTGATCTTTGGAGATGCAGACAGACTAATAATGTGTGAATGAAACAAATCACAACTCTGAGCATGTTTTTGAGGAGGTAACAAAATGATAAGCAGGCATAAAGCTCACGAGAGTCAATATATGACCTTAAAGCAATGCATTCATCTACATAAGAGCTCCAAAGGGGGCTATTCTTATTGCAGTTTGAGAACCACTTGCCTTTAACCTATTTTTTTTTTACTTCTAACTAAATATCACGTAGCCTAAAACAAATTTATACATTTCAATTCAAAGTAGAAACAGTTTGAAGAAGGTCAGACAGGCATGCTCATACTCACTTGATCTTTGGTTTTTGATGAAGAACAACTTGAGGCGCTCCTTGAATGTATTTTCGTTCACATAGAACTCCACTTGGACTCTGCATAGGAACAGAAGCACAGAGGTGAAGTACAGATTTGGTAAACAAAACAGGTGAATTATCAGGCAAGAATAAATAACAAGAAATAAATAAAGAGGGCCTGCATTTCAATGAGCAAAAACTGGAAATAAGAAGTTCATAATTTGAGTCAACCATGGATATGCACTGTCACTGTGTGCTTGGTAGGGCTGCTTAAGTATCGAAAATCAGACACTAATTAATACTATAACAAGCACTGAAACTACATACACATTTAAGGTCCTATATTACACAAAACTGACTGAGATTTTAGCCATGTTATCATTTTGTTAACTCTTCAAAAGCATACCCGAAGTTGTGTGTTGTTTCATTTTCACATGTTTGAGTAATCCTTTATTATTATTCTGTATCATCTCCAAAGCTTAAAATCCTCTGTTCTACCTTGCGATGTCATGTAGTGGTAGTTTTCAAGTTAACAGCTACTTTTTACTTTAAGTTCAGTAGAGTTTGGCAGTTCCAGGGCTAAAAACAACCCAATTATTCTAGTGAAGAACTCATCCTAAATATGCTGGGCTTGTGTGTTAAATGTGTGAATGAAATAAAACACAACTCCTGGCATGTTTTTGATGATGAAACAATATTATAACATAGATTAGTCCTTTAACCAAGTTTCATCTTGAGTTTTATAAAAATACAATAATGTCTTAAAATTAAAATGGTCATTTGGCTATCAAAATTGATATTGGGTATCATCTTTACCATCAAAATCGAGTTTGAAATTTTCTTTATCATGACAACACTAGTCCTTGACATTCCTTAAGACGCTCAACCCCCATTGTTCGCTCCAGTCACTATATTACAGAATGACATAACAATCTGCATAGTGCATCTTTATGTGTGTATGTGTCATGGAAGACATTTTGCAAGTGGGACTACAAGTAAACTGTCAAAATGCATGCAAATTAGAGCTAAAAGGTCACGTCGACTTAAAGGATAGAAATAAAAGCCTGGCCGGTATTAAACACTAATAGCGGAAATGGCTGTTCTGTGTGTCCTCCTTCTGCCCATGGGCTCCGACAGCTGTAGTCAGTCTTGTTATCTGCTCTGATTAAATATAGCACAACAAATGACTTCCCTGTGATGTGTCTGCTCAACATGGGAGGCCATAATTACTGGGCTTTCTGTCCCCCTTTTGCAGTATCCAGACCCCCCTCCTCTATACATCCCACACACTCTATCAAACACGAATCAACAAGCGCACGCTCGGGCCAGGGGTCACACATGTCAAATAAATTAAAGGGCCATTTTCTGATCTATGTTACAATGTTGATTCCTCATCCTCACCTAAAAAACATACCTGGAGTTGTGTTTTGTTTCATTCACACGTTTAACACAGAAATCCTGCACATTCAGGCTGAGTTCTTCTCGCAAATGGATACACCTTCACAAGAATCAATTGGATGATTTCAACCCTGGAATTGCCCATCTCTGCACAAAAGGTAGCTGTTAACTTGAAAATTACCACTTCATGACATCACAAGGTGGAACAGAGCATTTTGAGCTTTGGGGATGCAAACAGATTAACAATGCAGGCTTATCAAATGTGTATGAAAAAAGAAAACATAGCTCCAGGTATGTTTTTAATGAGGTAACAACATTCTAACATGGCTTAAAGCGTAATATAGGACCTTTAATAATAGTTATGACAGCAAAGAGACGCCAGTGGACTTAACAGTGTTGACTATACTGTCTCTCTGACCAGTGTAGAAACAGGAGGGGGGCTTTCCTTTCATCATATGGAGAAGTGGTGACTCAGGATGGAGAGTGAATTGAAAAGAGGCCAGACAGGCAGTGCTAGAGGGGGTCTGCTGAACAGTGCACATGGACAGATGAAAGAGAGGCACTCCATTGTTGTGTAAGTGTATGTGGGGACAGGAAGAGGCGCTGCTGGGGGTGAGTGGACCCACATGTGATGGGAACATTTGATAACCCTTGGAAGAAATGTTATGTCAATTTGAGAAAAAAAGATAAGATAGTGGTTTAAATCATTCGGAAAATAATGTTTTGTTGTTGATTTTGTGTACAAATAAAGATTGTTAAGCCACACCTCAACCAATAAACGTAACAAAGACATACTAAGCTTTTTTCAGGTATTTAGTATTTAACCATATTCTATAACATACTTGGATCACTATTCACATTTTTTTCCATTGTAAACCACTATTAATCTAAAGGCACTTAGTAATAGAAAGGGGTCTATTGATTTCTTGTTTATAATTGCCAGATGGTATTTTACTTTAACAAGTAGCAGATTTTTATTCTTGTAAAAGTGTATGTGACATAAATGAACCTTAGATATTTAATTAAGTGCAAATAAGTACAGAGCAGTGGGCAGGGATAGGGGCTAAGTGAAAAGAACTTAAGGATTACTCAAAATGCATGAATCAATCAAAATACAACTCTGAGTAGACTATGCTAAGATGAGGAAACACTGTTATGACTAGCCAGGTTGGCGCCACCTAGTGCCTTTGCTCAATTTAATTTCTCTCCAGCAGCTAGGTCAGGAATCAAAATACAATAGACAAGATCGAGAATTTAAAGCCAGAACAAAGAGAATGTTTGGTGACTTTCATCAAGGGGAAAGACATTATTGCCCTTCTTCCTGCGGGATATGGGAAAAGCTTATTATACCAGTTAGCCCCGTTAGTGGCACATTACATACGTCACAACCAAATAGCAGTGATTGGTTAAATGATAAAAAGTACCCGCCTACCGTCGAGCGAACAAATCCTAATGCTGCGAGGTCAGACGGTTTCTATATATTTTGGTTTTTACTCAAAAACAACAAACTCACAGACTAACTTTGCTTTGGACTTATTTCGCAACACTTGTAGGCTACTTCAGTGTGTTTGGTCTGTCCACTCCATGCTTTTTGTACCAACATTGGGCTGGTGGTGTAGGGGGTCAACTTTTCTGTGGTTGCCATGGAAACACAGCATTCCTTGTCTCTATCTTTTTTTCCCCATATGCCATGTCAACAGATGTGGGTATACTCCGCCAACATGGTCAGTGTCTTTATAATTACACATATGAAAAACACAGGGAAAGAAAAATATGCTTCAGTGGCTCGTGAAATCCCCCTGGAGTTAGTGAGATTATAAAAAATGGTTTGTAAAACGAAAGCACAGAGAAGTGTTGGTAAAGTCACAGTTGCAAATGTACATGGGTAGCCCAATCAATTTGTCTGCATGACTTCTTTTATGCACAGAAAAATCAAACTATGAATCAATTCACAGTATTTATCACAAATAGTAGATCTTAATGAAACATGGGACTTCTATATGAAATGTATGCAATATTAAACAGCTCATGACCAAATGTCAGGGCCGGGCTCTGGTGATTAATTACTTGTACAGCCATCAATAAGAATTCATATGTAGTGCAACTGTACAAGATATTCCACAAGTTCTTGTAACTATTATTTCTGAGTTATAAAAGGGATCAGGAAGGATAGAAACATGACTATTGATACTTTGCAGTGGAAGCACACTGACCATGTTCTACATGTATCTCTATTGGTGAAATGTTCATCAGTTTCTATGGTGACAAAATGGACACATAAGCACATACTAAATGGATTTAAGTGACACATTTTCAGGAACTTGTGAGTGTCCTTTGTAACGTTTAGGTGTTTGATTTTTAACAAAAAGATGAGAGTGACTAACTGAATGCGTGATAGCTAATTTTATGGGTCAGACAGAGCAGTGCCTGCAGTTAGCTTCATGCCCCTAGGGAGTGTTGATGACATCAGCTGTATCAAGTAACAATAGTTTTGATTGTTCACTCTGTTGTCTTTATCAAACATTTATCATTTGCCAGTAGCTGTGCTGCTAATTGGCCATTTCAACATGCACCATTCCCCAGTGTCACCAGAAGAGGGTGACAAGACACCTTATCCAAGTAGTCTATATGAAAGTGAAAGAGCAAGTGAATGTTTTTTGATAGCTAGATAACGCATTACCAGTGTTGGGAATAATGGCGTTTAAGTATAACAGCGCTACTAACGGCACTACATTTTCGGTAACAGAGTGATCTAATTAATTACACTCCCCATCGTTAAAATGATGTCATTGTTACCAGGAAAGTAAAGTAGCACATTACAGTTGGGTTAAATGAGGCGCCGCGGTGTCAGGCTTCATGGAGCGGACAGACACATATCATCAGCAGGAGCGGGGAGAGCTCAGGAGAGAGCAGGGCTGATGATGACTGGCTAAGAAGTTGGGTGGGTTCAAACTGGAAATACTGACACTATTTCTCCCTCATTGAAATAAAGGGCAAGAATGTGTATGTTAAGTGTTCACTGTGCTCTGTTTGCATCTGCCTCAAGTAACTCGAATCTAATGAAGCGCCTCACATTGTCACATGCTAACACACCTCTTGTTGCTGTGTACCCACCCCCGAACCCTGGTGCAGTTAACGTGAGCTCCAGCGAAGATGGAGACGGCACCACTATTAAAGCCAAACTCAATTTTTTAGGCAATAATACATAGCATGAAAAATTACTGGATAATTACTTTGCTGAGTAATTAATTACTATTACAGCATGGCAACTGAGTTACTAACTCAGTTACTTTATGGGGGAAGTAATTTGTAACAGTAACTAATTACTATTTTAAAGTAAAATGCCCAACACTGCACATTACAAGTCAATAATATCAGAACATAAAAGGGCATTTTAATATCACATGGAAAAAACTGTCCAAGAGGACAAGCCAGGATAAATGTTGAACTATAATTAATCCCTGCTTTGGAGGAGGTTGTGAATGACTGTGGTCATTCCAGATAGGAAAAGTAAATAAATAAATAAATACAAATCTTGTGTCTTACTTTCCATCTATCTTTTATCCTTTACATGTTTCATACATCCATACATGTTTCTGAGTAGACCTGCCAACTATTAAGGCACATTATGTCATTACAGTACATTACAGTCAGTCTAGTTAATTAAGATCTATTGTATA